TGCATCCCACACCAACATCTGGTTCCAAGTATTTCCGAGGATGCAACAGATGGCAGCAACCGCGCCTCCGGCCAATCGCTGTACATCTCGCCGACTTTCCACGGTTGCCGCAATCTGTGCATCCAAGCGTGTCGCCATTCGAATTGGTCTCTCCAGCCCGTGCTGCTGCATCCCTATGATTGGACTTGGGTTGCCCGATCTAGTCAAAGAGGTCTAGTCAACTGCACATCTCTAGAGATGCTCCATTCCGCGCCGTCCGGTTCCGTGGCTGGTCAAAGGCATCAATTTGCTTCTGCTGATTGAACGCGATCCATGGCCAATGCTTGAGCCCAAGTTGCGAAGGTGGCCTTTGCAAATCGTGCTGATTGACCGGCGTCCTCACCTTTGCTTGTTGGAGACGTGACAGAAACAACAGTCCGGTGGCATTGCTCGCTTCTCCTTGCCGAGGTACAAGATGCCCTCCCAGAGACTGGCAGCCTTCGCAGGCGCAAGCCCTGGAATGAGGCCTGGAAACTACTGTGAAATCTGGAAATCAAACATAGATGCGCGAAAAGCAATTCATAGCGATAGAAAAACAACAGAAACAGCAAAAACAGTGCTATTAATCCTGACATTGTGGATGGGACGGGAGAGGTATTTGGTTTGTATTCGCTGGTTTTGCATAACTATTTCGTGTGTCTTTCCATTTTCAACTTTTCGTCTGCTGTCAAGGGTTTTTTCTAACGGAAAACAGGTGAAAATAAAGACTGCAAATAAACACGCCTCAAAGCTGTGTTTTTGTTGGTTGCTTTTGTGTTGAGGTTGCTAATTTCCGTGGGCTTTGTATTCGCCGGTTGCCCGGGTGCCGCATCCATTCGTTTGTTGGTTGTTGTTCTTTTTTTTATCGTTTCAAAACATCCCAGACCGATCATGCCAGGTGCAACCACAGGTTCAATTTTTAAACACCAGAAGCCCTTTCCAAGCAAAAAACGGCTGAAGAGTGCTGCGATCGGAATTTCAAGATCTCGCTTGAAGAACTGAAATGTGAGCACTGCCCGAGGCTCGGCACGGATGTGGTGATCTGGTGCGCACTCTGGTGGAAACGAACAGCTGCCACCTTGGCAGCTTGGCACAGGGGCAGATCCGACTGTGCGAGTCTTCCGCGAGAGCTCGGTGCTCGACATTGAAAACTTCGGTGTCCTTGCAACCAGGACCTGAGCGATTGTTCGGGATGTCCTTGAGCTCAGCGGTCCTTGGGGGGATTCCGCTGGGGCCAGTGCAGCAGGGCCTCTCGCCGAGCCGACCTGGCTTTGGAGCGAGAAGAGCCAGAAAAGAAGTTCTTGAGGCCTGCTGAGGAGAAGGCCCACACAAGCGGAGCAAAGAGCCACCGAGCATTTGCTGCAAGCCTACGGTAGGCCATCATTTATCGCATCTCTTTTAACAAGGGCCGGCGCAAAAGCTCAGGGCAGGACCAGGTCAAAGGAAGAGCTCGCTGCACCACACTTGAAGCAGCAGTGAGAGACCTGGAGCTGAGCCTGATAAGAGCGAGTTTCTCTTCCCTTTGCTTTAAACACTTACAGTAATTCCTTATTACAGTCTATTGCAGTACACTTTGCATACTTCCTTTCCGGCAGCCTGACGGGAGATCGTCCGTCGCAGCGCTGCCTGGTCTTCTGCATGCCTCAAGCAAGGTCAGGACACCGCGTGACTCTGTGCCATAGGCATTTCATCCATGCTCAGTCTTTTCGGACGTCCTGACCCGGGAGTGTCCATCCCTGCCGAGGGCATCGCAAGATCAGAGGCGATCCGTCGCTGGAAAACGCACCTCTGCAACACAGCATCTACGACTTGCCCTGCCGTGGTCTGCAGTCAAGCTCGCGAGAAACTGCACTTCGTCCCGAAAGGCTGGCCCGGGGCACATGTGGGCGATAGATGGCAGCAAAGCTGTAGGGGCGGATCAACATAGACAAAGTCCGAGTCGGGATGAGTCGAGCGATGCCACGATTTCCAGTCCAGCTGGGCCCGATGCGTGTCGCAAATGCCTCTACCTCGTTGAGAGCCTTCGCTGCGGAAAGCTGGCTTTGGTGCCCCAGAGAATTTGCTGCGGCTCTGGTGCCTCGCCGGCACGATTTGCCAGTCCCATGGCTGCCTCCCAGGCCTCCAAAGGCGAAAGGCAAGGAAAGGCAAGCCATGGCAAGCTCCGTGCGTTTAGGACCCTCCGGGGTCGTGGGAATGTTCCGCTTGCTACAGATTCACAGTGGTAGGAAGCGGAGCTATTCGCTGCAAGAAGCGAAACTTCGCCAAAACAAGCATGGCCATAAGTTGGTATGGAATCAACGTATTGGTAAGACTACTGGTGCCGAAGATGAGGTCATTGCCCGCTGCAGCAAGTATCAGAATACAGTTAATGCTACACCCAGCGACTCAACCACGCCGAACCCTCCTTGGTGGCTTTAGGACTTCAGGAAGGGAACGAGGAGTCGTAGTGAAGACAACTTTCACAATCCCTGTCATGATGCAGCGGAAGACGCTGAGGACAGTTCTCGCGTACGACTAGGTTCGAATTCCTTCTCCCACCTGTTTTTGCACAGGTGTGGATGAACGTCGGCTGGCGCATGCTGACGCCGTTGCTCGGGCCCCTCCTGGCCTCGCCAGCAGCCAGGTAGTGGCTCAAGGGCTCCGCGTTCTTCTCAACCTCAGAGTGCAGCGAATATTGTCGAGTTGCACACGCTTCTCGCCTTCTCTCGCAATCCGGACTCGACAAACAGATCAGCGAGATAGCTTGCATCTCTAGAAGCCCGGCATCACCACATGCAGGGCATCGTCGATCTGACAGCTCCGTGCGGGCGCAGGTATAGCAAATGCTGGCCTGACTGAGCAAAGCAAAGCACCCTCTGGACTCTAGCTCGACCTACTTCCTAACCACTGCAATATCGCATCAGTTCAGACATATTTACAGAATGCTCATTTAGCTTCTCTTTACAGTGCTACAGCTTCACAAGGCGTAGACACGGCGATCGACGTCTCAGGAGTGGACATGGCAAGCAGGGCAGACATGATTGGTGGCCTTCGAGCTGCTGTTCGCAACTGCGACAGAGGAGGACTCTAATTTACATCTGGCGACAGGCACTCTGTGCAAAAAAATTGAATTCAGTGGAACTTGGATGCTCCTGCCAAGAGACCCAGTCTGACTTGCAAACTTCACTACGTGCCACCGCCTGGAAGCAACACAGCACTGAGGAGACCACAGATGATGGCTCTTGGCAGAGGCAGCAAGCCTTGCAGTTACCAAGCGTACACAATTTGCTCACGCTAGCTGTACATGCAGGATGCAGCATGCTGCCATGATCTACCATGATTTCTTTTCCATTCTCAGCATTGGGCACGGCCGCGCTCGCGATCACGTTCTGTGGCGTGCCTTCAAACAACGGTCGCAGCAGGAGCGCACAAGGAGGCCTCCTTCATTATAAAGCCCGGCTTGCGGAACACAAAAATTGAACATCTCCCGCAGACCTTAGAGTACGTATACCTTGCGGCAATTATCTGCATCCTCGCCGGAAATTAGACCACTTCCACGGTTTACCCCATTTCGAGTTCGTAAGCCAGCATCATCCGTGGCGAACAGGGATGGTGCAACAGCGCGTTAACTGGCGGGTGGCTCCTCGTCTGGACTTGACACGGTGCTGAGCGGCGAGAAAACTCCAGGAAATCCAGCTAATGCTAATGACACGCTTCATTGCAAACTTATATACATCATAATGCCTCTAGTTCGTCACGAGAGCATCAAAGCAGCCTTGGCAAACTCAGATCCAGCACAGCTCCAGATCCGACCTGTGACGATGAGATGCAATGTCCACCCCGAAAGCTCTGCAACTGTCGATCCAAAGCAAGATAAGGAGATTAAGGAGCAGAGAAGATGCCGGCTTTTGTGTGGAGTCCCCGGGAAATTCTGCTCTCTTGGAGGGGACCTTGTCCAAGTTGTCGGCCACCTCTGCGCCGACCTGCGTTTGCACTGCCCTGCAGCTATCTCTCTATAATTACTAGCAAGGCTCGCTGCCGCCTTCTGCGCTGCTGACACGACGGATCACGACGGCTTTTTGGGCGGGGGGCACGCAGCTTGTGCTGGCAAGATAGAGCTGAAGAGTCTTTCGAAACTCAGCATTCAGATGCCCGCAATCGGTCCAACCTCTGGCTCTCGTAGCCTTTTGCGGACTTTGGCCCCGTGGACCATTCAAGGAGCATGCGTGGAACAGATCAGTTGATCAGTTCGCCTAGAGCCCAACCCTCGAGCAGGAAGAAGCTCTGCCACAGCGACACAGGAAAACTGATTCAATGAATTAGCTTGAAATTGGTGCAGAGCGCGCCGCATGTGACATCTGCCCAAAGCAAAGGCACTGAATAATTTTTGATTCCTGGTCTGGCAGCAGCATCGTGTACACAGTGAGCAATGATTGGCAAAGCCAGCAACAGCAGCGCGGCTTAAGAAGGGACCTCAATGAGACGTCTCCTTGAAATGGAGGGTCAGAGCTTGCCAAGGGTGTGGTAAAGGTGGCAGCCAACGACTGCTACTGCATACAGTATGTCGGCGTCCTTCCGATCCACAGCATTTTCAACTTGTCTTCTGCTTTGTTGCCATACCTTCTTGGCATGCTAGCAATGATGCAGCACTCACGAGTACATATTCTCATGATCAATCGGCGACTTGCCTGGCATAGCCCTGGACTAGGTATGCCAGTATGTTGGTAAGTGACCTTTTGGCTACACAACTTGGCAAACTCCTGACAGATTCTGCCACCCTGGATTCCATCGTGGCTCCATGGGCGAACACCCGGGAGGAGCCCGATGGAAGCTTTTCGGGATCCATCTCGGTCCTGTAGGGTACAGAAAAAATCGCTCTGCAGCGACTTTGCTGTGTTTTTGCCCGCTGGCCTGCGACAACAGAAAGGGCAGCATTGTGATACAGCAAGCACTAGCCGCCATGCTTCGACTGACACAGCGCGGAGCTTGCAGCCAAGAATCGTCTAGCAGACCTGTTTGTCTGTCTCCAGCGTGACTGTGGCATGTCCGCCGCACTGTGGCAGCACGTCCTTGACGCCCAACTCCTGGAAGATGGCCTGTGAGAAGAGTAATGGTGTCACCATCAGTGTGTGTGTGTGCCTCTCCATGGCAACAATGCATCTATCACGCCACTATTCATGGCCTCGTACTGCAGTGCTGCATTGCTCCAGGTGAACTCTGCAGCAGCGGCCATCGCAGCCTTCTTCATCTCAACTACCTGACATCGGCACAAAGCAGCTTCACGTGGGTTGTGCTTCGAAGAAGCTCCAAGCTCTGACCGGAAAGTGACTTGCACAGCGTTACACAGTCGTCCCGAAGTGGTCCAATGGTCAGCACAGGTCGGATGGAACAAGCACGATCAGCTGCGGAGCAACCAATCCCAAAATGCTCCACACACACAGTAGCCTTCCCCGACCTGTAAGCTTTGGGTGCACAAAAGCAAGGCTTCCTGGCCTTACCAGGCTCCGACTGGAAGAGCTGACAAGCTCGGCGCAGGACCTTGGCCAAGGACGTCACCGACTCCTGGCCGCCAGCTGCAACTCTTGGGCTTCTGGGACCTAGAACATTGCATTTGTAGCTGGTGTCTTAACGAAGAGTCTCGATGACCTGTCTTGCCATCAGCACGGGAATTAGGCACGATGCAGGAGTCCCCCTAGCTTCGACCAGATCACATGTTTCATCATGTGCATCAGGAGGGGTTCGCATCAATTCAAGTTGTGGGCTTCCCCGTCCCGCTGCCCTCGTAATGATGCCTTCCCTAGATTAAGGGTGTTCCCCCTCTTGCTGACCTCAAACTGGGCTCTGACTCCTTGCAGTAGGAAGCTGACATCATGTGGATAGCTGTTGCTGTCTAGCACTCTTCAAACTACCAGTAGCATCCTTGTTGTCGCATCGTCGGTAGTCAGTAGGACCATCGGCAGAAACTTGCCCCATCATAGTCGCTTCACGCATTACGCAATGGAGCCACACAGCCAGATTTAGCTCCTGCTCCACAATCGCCTCGACGGTCATCTCACCATCCGTCCAGAGCCCGTTCAGGCCATCCTTCCCGCAGTTTCCAACCCAAAGCCACCCAGGCAGTGCTGATCAAGCAGCAGTTCGCGCCTCGACAGTGTCCTTCAAACCTCCGGTTGGGGCGACGATGGGCAGCGTTCCCAAGCGCATGGCCTTCATTGGCACGAAGGTACTTCGTGTGCCGTTCACATACCCACATGGACGGAGCTTCTGAAATGCTTCGCCTCCATCTGCACAAGTCCACATGGCTCCCACCTCCGGCAGACAAATCGAGTGAAGTTCCATCCATGAATTCATCACTAAGCCGAGACTTCGAGCGGCCTGGACGGGAGCAATGTGTAGTCGCATCCGGCCAGCAGAGCATAACGCTCCGCTCCCATCCAGCCTGTGCACGGAAGACTTCTTAACTTCTATCTGTGTGAAACAGCAGATGATCCGCTGATACGGCCTGCATAAAACAGCTTGTTCGGGTATTGCTTCTCAACGGCTTTCGTCCTTGGCAAGGATCGTTGCATGTCTTGGCAGCCTCCAGTCTGCAAACACCTGACTCGTACCTCCAAAAACCGCCAGCCTGAGTGCCCCTTGGATCGGCCCGTTGTTCTTGAGCACCCGACTGGGCCACGAGATCAGCGCGGCCAGCGCCAACCACCACCATTTGCAGTTCGGTGTCCTCGTGCTGTGACAGCCGACTTTGGCTTCTCACCGGCCCGTAACCATCGCCGGAATGGGTAATGACGGGTAATGACATGGCCGTGCTATCAGCGCGCAACGTGGACACGCAGTGTAGCTGGCACAAACACACTCACCTGCCTCCCGGACCTCAAACCTCAACCTGCAATCACTGGCAGAAGCGAGACCTTGTCCATTCGTAGTCGTTTCAAGATGGGTAGGTCAGCAATGAGAAAGCCCTGCTACAAGGGGCCTCCAGCACTTCCATGAGTGCCTCGAGGAGGAGGTCGTAGCCCTTCTGGGCATCCAACCTCCGGGTTCGACAGGGTGGCACGGGGCATGGCATTCACGTTGCGCTTTTGGGGGTGGGGCCTTGGTGCCTTGGAGGGGAGAATCAGTCCCAGCCTTCCGATGAAGCACATCAGGGGGCCCTTGCACTCCGTCATGTTGTTCTGCTTGCGATAGAGGTTCTGACAGGAAGATGGGCAGCAGCTCAGAAAGATGAGAGGACAGATCACTGACAGATCGCACAGACACGACGACCCACCGGCCTTCAGCTCTCGCTTGGCTGCATCTGCTGTCGCTGCCTCAGCACAAGCCACAGAGCTCTGCTCTCTGCGGCTTCTCCAGCTGGGAGCTACAAGCCCCATGTCTGCATTTTTGGGCGCCGGCTGTGAACGGCCCACAAGACATCATGGTCTTGGTGACGAAGTTCATGTCACTTGGGGACACACCCTCTTTGACACCGTTCAGGATTCCTGGAGCGAATCTGCGACTTTCGCCATGAAAGCAGCTCTTCAGCATCGGCCGAGGTCCTGTGCAGTTGCCCATCTTGAAGAGGGCCTCCAACTCCACGCCCTTCTCGGGATCCATAGTGATCTCTTTCGCGTAGGAAGGGGACACGGTCAGGGCCTCAACCGCACTTGACGACTATATCAAAAGCATGTGCACTGTCCGTTCTTTGAACTAGGAGTTCATGTCCCTGCATCTGTATGTATGTGGAGGACGAGGATATTGACGCATTAACTCCCGCGTCAACTATGCCTACCTCACACGAGCCGACAGGCAGAAACCAGAAACAAAACAGTCAAGCGCACTGTGCTCTCATCATCTCTCATGCCGGTTGGGGTGCCGGCGCGATCCGAGTAGCGGAGGCCAGCAGCCATGGTGTTGACGCACGACACCTGCCCAGACTTTTCCGATCCCTGCTCCGGAGTTTCAAGTCTTGGGGGCAGCCGCCTTCTCGTTGTACTTGCCGATGCGAAGAGGCTGCTTGAAGGTGATAGCATCGATGTAGCGCTGTGGGACACCGAAGATCTCTGCCAGACCTGCAGCGAGGATGGGCGTTCACAAGCAGCCTTGATTCTGAGTCACTTCCCGCCTTCCTCGCGAACGAAGCGGCCCTGGAACACGGCATTGTGGCAAAGGAAGGCGGTCTTCGTGTTCTGCCACTTGCCTCATGAGGCTAAAACAAGCGCAATCCCTGCAGTCCGCTGCAGTCTGACACTGCCATGAGCTGCAAAGCGATACTTGCCTGGGTTTGTGGACTTCTCCGCATGGATGAACATTGGCACCAATGCACTGTGCCAATCGTTGCAAACCACCATGGAGTCACCACCGTACCTGGTGTCACGCACACACGCCCGCACAGAGAGCGTGAACCCGAATCAATTGACACACATTGATTGCTTGTGATCGTATTGTCCGAAATGAGCATTGCTGGGGTTGATGCGCAATTCCACCAAGCTTCAGCTCCTGCACAAGCTAGCCCCATGGCTACGCGATGTTGCCAGTCTCGCCTCTTACGTTCTGGCACAGCCTTCTCTGTCCGAGCATGGCCCTAAGCCAAGAAAGGTGGAGCTATTCTAGAGTCGGCATGTCAAAGAGCACCAATAAGACGCCTGTCCTGGATGGCCTTCAGCGATGCTTTGCAGAAGTAGGCAAAGCGAGCCTGGTTGTCGGCGAAATCCTGGAGACGAGACACGACTCAGCTTTTGCAGAAGTTATGAATGGGCGGGGGCGTGTGCGCATGCCACGCAAAAGTCCTTTCCCCACTCCGGTCCGTACAGCTTGGCACCTGTTCGGCAGGTGAAGACATGTGAAAACTTTTTGCTCGAGCGAAAGCTACTGCAGTCACGCGGGCTTGGCCTGTCAATCCATCCACTCGCTCCAAGAAGGTGGGATGATCCACAAAGACATAGTCCACCTCCAAAGCCACATTCAGGGAAGCTACACCGACTGTGGCCTTCTTTCAAGTCAGCCTTCTGCTTGTAGGTGTGGAAAAAGTGCACTGACTCCTGCTTGCTAGAGGGCTCGGCCAGCAGCCGGCCAGGAAGTCGGAAGTGACAGACTCTTGTGCAAGATGCTGCAATCGAACGGGCTCCTGCTTACCACCCATCGGCACCGACGACCAGTAGCTGGTGTCCCAAGCCTCCGAGTACTGGTCGTAGCCTGATGAGGCTTCAAGGCTTCAACCGCCTAGCTGTAAAGTCCACATCACTCCAGACTCACCAAAATGCGCTAGCCACAGTCAACCGAGGTGCGGGGGGAGACCACCATGCAGCGGTGGCCCAGTGCAGCCAAGGCAATGGGAAGTCCATCCATGGCCTCTCCAAGTCCTGAAGCGCTAAAGCGTCACGCCGCTCTCATGAAAGCAATGACCGAGGCCTCCCGTTTTCGAGAAGGGCGCCACCTCGCTCGTGACGAAGATAATCCTTAGAACTGTCGACTCGGGTTTGGTTCCTCGCATCATGCTAGTTTTCCCAACGCCGCTGTGTTCTTGTACCCCAAACACCGACCGCCTGCTTTCCCGCACCGGTGGCTAAACGCAATGCACACTGGATTTCGACCTGGCTCGGTCCCAACTTGTAAAGAGGTTTTTTCATCGAGTGCAGCCAGGTGGCTGGTACTTCTTGCCGATGGGGACCCGGAGCTTGCCATTGGCATCACGGGTCACTCCGCCACGCCCCTCCCAGAGTCATTCGCTGTCACGACGCAAATCAGATAGCATCTGCGTTCATTGACCCATCGTGACCCATCCAAGGCCAGACCGTTTGGACCTGTTTTCTGAGGCTGGTCCTGAAATCTGCGATAGTTGGACCTGCCTTTGACACATCACGACCATGCAGGCCATGAGAACTTGACCTGGAATCCGGGTATCCGTACCGTGTATCCCACTACGCAGCCACTCTTACTAAGGCTTGCGTTATCTTGCGTTGGTTACTGGAGTTGCTGGAAGCTGAATCCAACCTCAGGCCCATGTAGACAGTGCGGGACCTCGGCCATGGCGCGGCCAACTGCAACAGCAGGAGGTCCTACCTGCCCGTCGATGTGCCCAAACACACATTCGCCCCTTCACCCGCTGGTTGTAGATGCTTCAAGGGGCATGTTAGTGTAAAGGGCTACAGTAGCACTCTGATAGCGGGCTCGCACTCAAGTGCAAGATTGCAAGATGAAACATGAAAGCTGATAGTCCTGACCCGCAGACTGACTTGTTCACCAGGCTCAAGTCAAAGGACAGTGGCCATTGCTCTGGCGAGCAACATGCGAAATTACTCTGCATGCTGATCATGGTCGATAGCTGCGAGGAACTGACAGTGAATATGCTTGATCGCAACACGAACCACGGATTGATGGTTAATCGTAGACATGCGAGACCTTGGGAGCATCAGCGCCGGTCAGCACGGAACCGGCAGCCTGACAAAGCGAAACAAACAAAGTGATCAGGGAGCTTGGCCGCTTGGCTTGACGCCGAGGTTACTGAAGAAGCCCCGAGATGACACCCCCCAGCATTGCCTTCGCGTAGCCACGTGCGGGGCCCACGGAGCTCGTGGCAACTGTACCAGGCTGTGATGCGGGCATCGGTTTGCCGCTCACGATATTCAGGACCTCAGCTTTGCTGGGGAAGTCAAGGAGGAAGATTGGACATGTAGTGCTATCGCCAGGACATGCTATAGCCCCCCACGACAAGGGAGGTTTTCAAGCTCTCTGGGACGAACAAACCAGGAAACGAGGAACGGCAGCGCTTTGAAGCAAGAGCTTTCAGTTTCGCAATCCATAAGCATGTTCATCCAATCTGCATCTACTCATGTTGATCTTCAAACAACTGAGATGGGGCAATGCACGAAATCACCAACGATGGACCATCACATCCGAAATATATAAAATAGTACAGTATCCAAACTTCGCTGGTTCGCAGGTAAAGGTAAAACCTGATGGAAAAGGCTGAAGGGCGAGCTGCAAGCACAAAGTTAAGGGCTGGCTTCAAACTCTGATTGCATGTCGCTACTGATCTCTTCCGACTCGCGAAATGTTGGGCTCCGGGCTGTGCGAGGTGCGGGCTGGCCTGGAGCTGATGCAGCTCCGGCTGTGCCGGCCCCGGCACCACCGGCCATGTAGCGCATGGGCACGGCACCCCCGGAGCCCATGGCGCCCATTGCTTTGGCCTGGAGATCGGATGCCCAAAGACCTTCCCTACGCGCCTGCGCTACCGATGCAGCAACCTACAAGAACACAACAGCAAAAGTGATGCCAAGCAAGATCGCACACACACAACACAGAGACAGAGATGGACAGACACGCTTCTGCTGAAATATGCCCTCCAACATATTTCAGCTACCCATAATACAGACGATCGAACCCTCAAGTCCCCCGACGCGCCTTTGCCTTAGGCGCGCCCGAGGCTCCCCCGGCCGCTTCAGCCTTCGCGCCCACACCTGGCGGCGCCGATAACGCCAATACCGGCACACGATCAAGAGTCGAGACTCATTCATGGCATCGAACAAACGAACCACGGTAGTCTTGGTAAGAGTTCAAGCAGTCGAAAGAAGGACTGCTTCACTGCTTGACATTAATTTTACCTGGCCTCGGTTCAGCGCGGATCCAGTGGCACCCACGCGATCGGCAGCAGACATCGGCTTCTTTCCCTCCTCATGCAGGACAGACAATATTACAGGGATGGCTAATTAGGCTAATTACCGGCAAACTAAAGCGAAATCGAGACTTGACTGCTGGTGCGCAACTCAAGCTGTCGCCTTTCAACCTGAAGCTGTAGGCCATCCTGTCACATGGAGCATGTCAAGCTGGAAGCTCCTGAACAATCGCAGCCGCGGAGGTTGGAGGCGCAGAGGGTGTGGATGTAGTGGATGATGCGGCCTGGCATCGATTTGAGAGCTGGGCCGATCCCACCAACCGTCCAGAACCGAAACCTGCATGCACTCGTCCTGTACTCACTGTACGACATTTTGGGATCCTGCTGCACTGGAAGTCCAAGTATTGGTGGTTCAGTGCAGGGTCGTTGAAAGCAGGTCGCAGTTGCGCAGGACTCGAAGTGGCGTAAATTGTAGTAAAGCTTCGCAAGGCAGCACAAGATAGAACGTGCACAGCACGGATCGCAAAATTGCTTCCTGATCGGAGGGTGACCTTGGCAGTGGCAGCAGGGCCGGGGACGGCCATGGCCTCCCACAAGCGCCAGGAAGTCTGGGTGCCGAGCGGCTCATGCTGGCGCTGGGGTCGAAATTAACAGAAAATACTGCGGCAGACCCCGCTCCCTACGTTCTTCTCGTAATGCCTGGCCATCATATACTCTTGCTAAAAAACTCGGGCTGCAAAGAATCCCTTCTGGTTTGGAGTGCTCATCCAAAACACATGGTGTGCCCAGAGAGTGCGGTATGCTTGTTGTGTGAGCATTTATACTGTGTGGTGTCTATAGCAACACGGCATGCGAGATGCTAGATTAAGCTGCTACATAGTTGGTACAGTAATTAATTGCTATTGTGGCATAAAAACGTGATGCGCCGTACGACTACAGAGATACCCGGCTTCATGATGGATGTAAGTCACAAAATTAAACTGCATCGTAGCTCTCGTGATGACACATTGTCACATGTTCGTTTCGATGTTCTTTTGTGGTCTTGGCTCTCTGTGGCAGCGCGCCTTCTTGGCGACAGCGACCGGGCGGGGAGCTGCCTTGGCCTGAGCGATGGCTTCACAAAGGCAGCACAGCCTGTGCTGAACATGCCCAAAAGGGGCCTCCGGTGCTGCAGCGGATCCAGACATGACCTCGGCCGGGATGAGGCCGCTAGTCCGAGCAGTAAACTACAAGGCTACAAGACGTCCTATAGGTTCCCCCTCCCTGTCCGTGGCGCAACGCAACGAAAGATCCAAAAGGATGCCTCTCTCTGTCTCTGAACATTTTCTCTGCAAGGCATAGCGTTCGTGCTACTCTCATGCTCTTCATCACCATGAACACACTTGCCAATGGCAAAGCCGGGCCTCAGAGTGTGCAGATTGGGAAGCGGGGGATATGCTGCAGTGCTGCAGTGGCACAAAATGCTGCGGATCGGTGTTCGGAAAATTTCGGAAATGTCACCCTCTATACTGTCACAGCACATCGGGACTATCTAGGGACCGAATCCGATCAAACCTGCCCTCTCCCAAATCCACTTGCAGAAGGCCGTGACGGCCCAGCCTGAATGGCAACTTGCAGAGCAGCCTGGCAGAAGCAACTTGAGGACAACATCAGCACCAAAAACATTTCGGAAGCATCAAAGTCCTTCCTAGCCCAACAAAAACCAGGAGCACTGCTGCACTCTGAAAGCAGTGCTGAGTCGAGGCCCCATGACTTCAGTGGACCCAGTCGGATGAACATCCGAGCTGCAAGGTCACCCTGCGTCACCCCGCACCTTGGCATCAAAGTTCTCGGCGACTTTGGCAAGGTGCTGCGCGGCTGCCACGTCGGAGGCTGGCTTTCGGCAGTGCGGGCACTCCGGCCTCAGCGGACATTACCTGTCAAAAACGCTAGCACAGTCACAGTCCGCGAATCGCAGCGACCACAGTTTGTTGAAAGCTAAATATGGTGTAAATTGAGCCCGGTGTTCTCACGCAAGTTCACATGGAGACACAGCTCAGAACAGCCGCGGGAAGGAATTTCAACACTCCGACAGATGTCCCGGGCGCCGGGCTTTGGCAGCTTCACCAAACAGCCGATACACACGCTGTGATAGCACTGGTCGCCTCTGCTCTGCTAGTGGGGGCAAGAGTTTCGCTTCCCACCAGATTCAGGATCTTTGCTCTCCGGTTGAACCCTTCTCGTGCCCCCTGTGTAACAGCGATCCCGACTCGGGTCATGCGCTCACCCTAGGTTCGGTGATTCCCCCAGTCTCTTGGATCTCAGACACAGCTGTCACTGGAGGAGACTCTCCACGCGTTTAAGCATCGCACAATAGAAGCCGAAGTGGCCGGAACTCTGGTAGCCTGGGCAACTGCACAAGCAGACGAACAACTCAGCACTGGAGGGTCCCCGTGGTTCCAAGCCGTTGCTCAGATGGCTTGTTTGGACTATGTCACTATGTCGATGCCTCAGGCTTCAAGCCTGATAAAGGAGTAGTTGAGAGGTGGGGCGCAAAAGTTTAACTGACAGCCAGCCCTAAACTTTAGCTAAAAGACACATCGCCAGCGATTCTGGTGCATGACTGGACAGCTCTTCAAACGAAACTCTACTGTTGCCTGTCTCCTGCTACTTGTCAATCAAACATTCTAAATGAAGCCCATCTCGTTGTCCAACTGATTGCTGTCGCAAAGTCTGAGCGCTTCAACTCCTTCTACAATTCTACAGCTTCAGACCCCAGCCCAAGCCCGTTAGCGGCTTGAGATGCATGCCGCAGCAAACGAAGACGTCCACCCCCTTCGGAGATCTTCGGAGCTTCAAATCATCAAACAAAACAGCGGCAGGATGTACGCTGCATGTTGCAAGAAACGCTGCCAAACGTAACATCGCGAGTCTATGTTCAGGACCACAAAACCCTTGACTGTTGCAAATAACGACGAGTGATCGCCGAACGAATAAACACATTTGCAAGCACAAAGGTGCCGGTGCAATACAGGTGCAAGCAACGGTCTGGGTCCGCCACATACGACACACTTCCGCATCCTGAGCTTCGGCTTGACGTTGCAGAGCCCATGCATATGCGCAGCATCCGTCCAATGCTACACTTCCAGTGTGCAGCCTTCATACGTCCCCACCTGTCGTCCTGCAGGTCCAGCTGGATGTGAGGCTCGGGAAGGTCGATGCCAATCTGGCGAAGCCATCCACTGCATGCGACGGCCGCGGCCGAGCACGGCATGTTCGGATCAGTCCTGGATCTCTCCCACTGCCTCCACCATCTCCTGGAGCGTCTCTCGGGCGAAGGTCCACTGAGAGCAGATAAAACTAAATCTGGCTGAAAAGGCAGAAGATGAAGCTCTAGCAGGTAGCTAAAATTGTTATCGTCGCTAGCGATGCCCGAATGAAGACAAGCACGAAAGCATCCCAAGACTACGCGACTTCGTTGCTGCTGATGACGATGCTGCTGCCACTGGACAGGATAACGGCATCATCACTATAATGATCGATAGCAGCACCCCTGTTGCCATGATTTAATTCATCCTCATCAGCAACAACCACATCATCAGTAATAATCCAACAGCACGCCAAGAACAGGCGCAGCAAGCAGCTTCACCCTCTCACAAAGCAAAATCAACATCAGCATGGTCCTTTGTCACTGTGATCACCTGCGTCACCATCAGCGTCATCATCGTCGTGATCATCACCATCGTGAGAAGTTTAAACGGCCGCACAGGATCAACAGCCTTAGACCGTCCGGCAAAGGGTCGCCTGGGCTTTCCTGTGGAACTCCCGGGAGATGGCGGCAAATCCGTCCTGCTCTCGTCATGCTCACTGCCTGCGAATTCCGAGCACACTCTTCGACCTCGAAGTCGGCCCACTGGAGCAAGGGATCGGCAACATCATCCTCACAAGTTCACCCTCTGAGCGGCAGATGTCCAGCTTCAGTGGGCAAAGAGTCTTTAGCTGCCATATTCTAGGCTGATTGTTTGTCACTCCCAGGTCCTAGTCAGTACTGGCACTCTGGTGACTGCGCTTGCTAAATCTTTCACCTTTAACCGCAGCCAGACCACACATGCTCAACATGACCCATGCTGGAAGCAGCTCCTCGCGCTGGTCGCCAGGCTCCAGGAGAGGGGCCCTGAACCAGGGATGCCTCGCTGTTGTTGCCGAATGTACTAACGATAACCAATAGTGCTTCAGTGCTTAATTAAGACAAATTTAGCGTAACACTCGAAGTTTTTTCGAAGAAGAATCCGCTGATCTTCCAGCCTCCCCCCCTTGGTGGCCACAAACGTTGTCCAGCTCTGGCAGAGTCACCGGGGCCGCTGCTTGAGAGCTTCTTCGGCTTCGGGTCGCAAGGTCCTGTGAAGCATAGAAGTGTGTGCAGCGGAACATACGCTGCAACAATTAACAGGTTGATCAGCTACGAAAGGCAGTCGTAGGATCGGTGATCGGGTGATCCACTGATGCGTCTGAGGATGACGAGGGACAGAAAATCTCAAGTGCAGGGCTTTCTTAAGGCCTCTTCGGTCGCAGGAGGCACCGCACCAAATCACGGGCAACCGGCGAAGGCCTGCAGACCACTGAACATCTCCCTTCCTGAACCATCAACGCTTTCAGTTTGAGCTTCGTCGCTGTGGTAGGAAACACAGTCAACCAGCTACCTACAGCTTGAAGACCAGATTCAGATTTTTTTGGACGGTATCGTTCTGGGAGCATTGGAAAAAACCACGAGGATCTGAGGATGACACTAGGCAGGGTCGACACTAAAAGACAAATGCTTATGCTTTTGTCAAAACGGAGATGATCGCAATACATCCCAATTTGTCCATAGTGGCATGATGCCTACCTACGACAACGATAACGCCAAGACTGGAACGCTGCCGAGAGACACAACAATACGACAAGGCAATTGATGATGACTGTGGCGAGATGCTGAATGATCGATGCAAGCGAAGGATTAGGCAGAAGCAGGAGCGGCATTTCTAGTGCCTGCCGGTTTCTGCCCTGTTGTGCGCACCATAACAGAGATGTGATGTAGGTGTACGCTGAAACTCAGCTTTGTTTGAGTCTGTTGCAACATGAGAAGCAACATAAGCTTCACCATCTTATTTTGCAATCACTTTAAAGCATCGCACACTCATGAAAGCGGTGCCGCTCTGCAATCTAAGCTGGCATTCCCTCCACATCCCTTTAGGCTCGGAGGGTTTGCGAACGAGCAGCCTTAGCTGCGAGACGCCGAATCCTAGGCCTACATCCTAAGGCGTCCGGTCAAGGAGTCAGACATTGCCTTGCTTCTCTACAGAAAGCGTCTGCAATTGAAGGGATCTGAATGTCTGGCTCCGGATCTCCGTGCAACGATCGCCCCGTCCATGAAGCAGGACCTGAAACCGCTTCATCCAGAGGTGGGCAGCGGCGCTGCAAGCTCTGCTACTGATCCTTTGCAAACTCACAAGACTCTCGCCTGCCAATTAGCAATGGCTTCGGTCTTGGCCATAGCACCAGAAAGGAATCCCAATTCTCGGGTCCCTCTCGATGTTCAATCCTGTGCCTGCCTGAGCTTCTAGCTTGGGCAGTCAGACCTACCAGGTGGGGTCTGCTTTCAAGTGTAAGCCTGCCAGCAGCTCGAACAGCTCCTGGCATCTGCAGCACTCGCTGCGGCGCTAAGCGTCGACACGTGCAGAGCCTCATAATAAGAGAGGCAAGGACCCAGGCACCACGTACGGAACAACAGTAGAGAGGCGCTAAGCTGGCTGCATGCTGGAAGCCCTGAAACCACCAAGTTCTTGCATCGGATGGTGGTGGATGACGCTTGGACGGCAAGGATGAGTTCAGAAATCTCACGCGCACAAAAAGGTCCTTAGCCCCCTGTGCAATTTGTACAGCAACATCGGAAGAGCCGGGAAAAGACGACCTTCATGTTTTGGAGGTCATCCGGCCATTCGACGGCATCCTGTGTTTCGAGGACGCTCTGTCCTTCGACCTACCACGAGGATCTTTAGATCCTTGTCGATCCTCTCGCCTATGCTTACGTAGCTGCCTGGCACGATGCAAGTTCGCGGCGCTCTCAACGTCCGGCAGGCAGCTTCTCAGCCTGAGCTCATGACACATCCCTGCACTTACCCCACAGCCAGGATACTCAGCTTTCTGCAATGATTTGTGACTTCTGCACAGAACACTTTATGTCTGAGATGACACACCACGCCATAAAGTCGACAAGTTGATGACATCTGTTCACGCCGCATCGCAAATCATACATCAAAGTACACAACCAGTGCAATGCTGTGTACAGGTCAGGACATAATTACCCATTCGTAGTCCGATTTCACTCCAAGTGCCACCCTAGCGACACCTCGGTCAACCACTGTCGTGCCTTCGTTCCTTTCGGGCTCAACAGGCGCGAGCAGATGGCATGCTGGTTGTCACGTTTCGCCCACGCAGTCCTGACTGATCGAGGAAGGGATCTTCACGATATGCCATCCTAAGTTCTTCGTGGGTCGGACGGCCACTGCAACGAAGAGCTACAAGCACAAAAGGAAAATATGACAGAGACGAAGCGTGTCTTGACGTGGCAAGTCGCATTCTGTCACGATTCCAGAGCTCGATCCCGCGACCGACCTGCGACTGCCGTGCTGTGAGGCTGCAAACTCGAGCTCCGGGCAGTCTGAAACCCGGGCTTTGGCAACGACCCGAGAGCACGTGCCCTTGATGCCTCAGAGTAGGAACAGCGGCCAACTCTCAGCCCAAGTCATCCCGGTGCACTGGGACCGTCACGCTCATCCGTTTTGAACTCCCACTCCACCTGGTTGTCGGTGAAGACCTGCCGAGGCTCAAGCCACAGGTTTTCCCGCCATTGGCCTCTCGAACATGCGAGGTTACGCGCCCCTTCTGAGTGCCCCCGACAACTCAGTTACAGTGCTGGTCCGACCTGTGAAACTCTGACGAACTGCCGTGTAAAGGGGTGGCTTTTGGAATATCCAGCCAGATTTGACTGCGTTGTTGGTGTGCAATGCGGGAATCTGGGCTGCCTGAGCACACCGGAAACTTGGTGGGCTTGCGACTTGTGGTCCTACGATTTTTCATGTGTCACAGGAACAAGGAACAAGCTCGGCAGCTTCCTCTGGTTGCCAAATCGTGCAAAGCTACCGTGCACAACTGAAGCTCGACACGCTGGCGAACACGACCGACCTGAGAGTCGCAAGCTCTGCATTTTGCAGTTGGCAAGTTACCACATGTGATGTGCTCCTGGTTCTGGCGGAACACTGAGCGTTAGAGCTCGCTTGCTTCTGCACACTTCCACACAGCAAATGTGGTCCGTGCTGACGCACTGGGACACACAAATGTTGTTGAACATTTCCGGTTTCTTTCCGGCATTGTTTGACGGAGTGCAGAGCAGCATCTTCCTTATCATCGGACTTGGGTTGCCCGGTCCAGCCGACCACACATCTAGAGATGCTCTGTATTCCTCGCCGGCCAGCGCCATGTGCTGGTCGCGGATGTCAACAGACGAGGTCGACACACCCATTTGTGTGCACATTTCCTCGCAAGGGGACCTCAGCTCCGCGGCGTTGGCATCGTGCGGCTTCAGAGAACAGAACAGCGGTGATGGTAGGACAATGTAGGACACGCCGGCACTCGCAAACGCCTCCTGCGCTTCTGCGCGCTTTCTTCATCACCAACTGCGAAAAACGAGTTGATGGCGATCCACGGCCAATACTTGAGCCGAAGTTTCGAAGTTGGCCTTTGCGACTAGTGCTGATCAGAATAAGATGCAGGTGACCACCGACCCCCAGCTTCGGTTTCGGAGATTATAATAGGGGTGGCCAAGCGTAAAGCATCGAATGGACAATGGAGCCAGCGGGTCCCTGTGACGCTACCCTGGCCCTTCTATGCCCTGGCATGCTTGGGCCTGGCTCATGATGATCTTCATTCGCTCAGCCATGAATGCGTAGTCCCTCCCGACCTCAGCTTTGAAATACCACGGACTTGGGACATCATCCGCATCCTGCTGGCGGGGAGCCCAGAACTGCAAGACCTGGGCTGGGCTGTGCAAGGCTCAATTTGCCTCCTGGATAAGTGAGACGGGGACGCCCTTGCTGCCTTGGCTTTGTGCTTCCAGGTTGCCACAGGCTTCCCGGGCCGTGTCTCCATCAGCGGCTTGCTGGGTGCCACGTAGTCGCCAGCAAGTTTCACATAGTCTGAGGCAGAGAGTAGAGGCTGGCTTGTGCTGCATGTTACTGTACATCGCAAATGTCCAGCTCGCGAAGCGCCTGTTCGCCGAGTCTCCAACGTGAACAGCAATGACAAGTTTCAAACCGAACTCGCTGTCAGTAGCAAGATGGAATAGCTGTGATCATCTGTGAGACCCCTGAAAGCAACTGAGAAGAGGCCAGAATTGCCCTGCAGTCGGCCTTGCTGGTCTGCATGTCCTCGCATGTTTTGGGCTTGAAGCACCGACTCGGGTGTTCCAGGCCAGCAGCTCTAGCTCTCTAGCTGCGACGCAAAATGCACTTTGACGGAAGCCCACGGCGAATCTGATGCCTCTCTGCTCCAGCATCTTCAGCTCGCGGTCGGGATGCACCTGACCAGGGCCACTTGGGATTCCCTGAGAGTCACCGTAGGGACCCTCCTTTGGGGCTATGACAACATGGGACCAGTAGGAGACCGCTGAAGACGAGGAGCCCAGTTCAGGAACTCGTCATAATTGATGTCGCCAGAGGCATCGCTATCAATGAAATCCTCGGTCCGATGTCAGCCAGAAGCATCATAGAGGAGCGTGAAACGTCCCATCCCCACTCCTCGGACACTTCGCCTGCCAAACAACACAATGACAGACTGTCTACTGTTGCGAAAGGCAAGTTCTCAACCAAGCAGCATGCAGGTCATCACCTCAGCCCACAGGGTCAATGTCAGCAGGAGAGCTTTGTATCGTCCTCCACCTGATGGGGTTGCCCCTGCCTTCGTGCATCGGTCATCAACATTTTCTTCTTCACCAGAGTGATCATCATCATGATCATAATCATCATAATCATCATCATCATCATCAATGAACCAATCGTATTGCCCCCATCATTGCCCTCATCATTAATATCACAAGCGCCATAAACACCACTAGCTCCAGCAACAGCATCATCACCACCACCCCCGCCATTGCAAGCACCATCATCATCATCATCACCACCATCATCATCTTCACCATCGTTGTAACCATCCTCATACTCAGCAATTCTAGGGTCTCACTCCTTGTCGACGTTGTGCCATGCAAGCAGTGGGCATGACTTCAATAACGACAAGAAGAGTCTTTGCAGAATCTATGATGCTGGTCCGACAGTCTGCTCACTGTCCCTGCAAATGGCAGCAGACTCTCTGGCGCCTTAATGCGAGCAGGGGACTCGCTTCTTGCGGGATTCCTGCACGGGGCACTAGGGCCACTGGGGTTGAGAATGGACGAACAAAGCTTCGCGCAAGCAGTCAACATTGGATGACAAGGTTGTTTGATCTGCCGTGCACACAGACACACACATGGACGGGAAGCTCCCACCCCTGTCCTCCAATGGTTTCGATGAAACGCCAAAACTCTGTCCTGTCAAGATTTCCATCTCCCGTCTTGTCCTGAGTGCAGAGAGCACCATGTTCTCCCAAGAAGATTTTGATAGTTTCCGGCTGGCCCTTTGATACCCGGACCCTAATCTGCCATGCCAACGACACGAACAACGTAGGGCTAGACAGGACGACATCATCAGTTTCCGGTGCATGCTCAGGCACTATTTTTCGGAAAATCCGCTGCACCTGCTCCTGTGGCAGCTGCACCAACTTCTCTCGAAGGTGGTTTAGACCTTGTCATGCATGTCCGTCTGCAGAATGCTGCCGCATCAGGCAGCCAGCAGTGCTACATCAGTCCCGTTCTTCTGGCCGGGCTCAGATTTACGGAACATCTGTCAGTATGGTGACTTGCGTCCCACATCTCAGACAACTGAGCCATCTACGAAAATTGTTCGTCTGGAAGACCCATCCGAGAAATTCATCTTCGTCGATGCCGCCGGACTTGTTGATGTCAATTTCCTGATGCAGCGTAGCTCCGATGAATTTACAGCCATGTGCCCGGCAAAACCTTGTACCCCACCCTGATTCCTCAGAGTCCCAACCCCAAGCAACGGGTGCATTCTGAAATCGGACTTGATCTTTGCAACCGCCGTGTCCACAGACCAAGCACCGAACAAACTGCACGGATCGGCTGCCATTCAATCCCAGATGCCTCGAAGATGGCTTCGCCTCGGGATAAGCAAATCTGAGCTGCGACTTTCGCCCGATATTGCGCGGAATCCACTGAGACACGTCGTATCGAAATCAACCATCGGGGTACCAAGCACGAAATGCAGGGACGAGTTACTAAGTTCCTCGTTGATGTTGTCTTGCAGCCGGCTGATGCCTGCCAGCTTCACACATTTGCAGATCAGACTCTGCGCTCCGGAGATTGCTGTGCAGTGTTGCATATGCTTGCTTCGATACCAGGGCAACCTGGCCTTTCAGAAGGTTGTAGAAGGTCTTTTTGTCCAGGTGGCCTGGCAGTGCAGTGTAGTTTCCTTACACTCTGAGACGCTGAGATCAAACGCTAAGATCACTGAGACTGGATACTGCGTTGGGGGAGACTACTGGGTCAAACGGCCGCGATGCTCCGCACAGCTCTTCGTTACTCGCTCAAGTCCACACGATGGCAAAGCTGCTGCCATGTTGAACCCTGCCAAAAGCGTGAAGCAACTGACGGAAGCCTGTTCTCTTCACGTCGTAGAGAGTGAATGAGTCACGAGCCGTCCAATAGTCCTCAGACCGACTCTGGAACACGTGCTTCGAAAAATGCAGGAAGTATTGACGAACAGGCGATGCAGCACATGTCATCCAGAGCTGGGATGTGAGATGCAATTACCTGCTTGCTTAGGCCCAGTGGCCAGCTGGCGGATGCTCTGTGGCAGCGACCCATCCTGCCCAAGCCATTTCTTCGTCTCACCTGGGGGCAACGGAACCATTCTACCGAAGAGGCTGATTCCGCAGGCTGACTGCGGCTGCGTACCCAGTGACAAAACCTGGCCCTGTGCCCTGCGATACCCTGCGCCTCGTTCCCTTCGCTCATCCTCATTGACCATGTCGCGCAGCTCGTGGACCAACTCTGTTGCACGCTGCGACCTTGCTGCATACCCAGCCGCGTACCACTACCCAGAGACCGCCTTCATAACACGCTGGCCGTACTGCCGTAAATCCGCCAATCTGCAGCTTTTCAGCTGGGGCGCTTGGAAACTGTTCGTTCAACTGAGCCAGCGCCTGAGCACCATAAGCACACTTCGGACACGTGGGGCCCATGCTCGCTCTAGGACGACATATAACCGGGTCAGCCTTCAGCCGTCTCCCCCACTTCCTATTTTTAACTTAGTGTCAGCGCTTAAACGGTTTGCACTTCTTGGAACTGCAATGGCTCATCGAATGTCGCGCAGCTGCGCCTTGCTCTGGTTCCTGCCGTGCTGGCGGAGGCGACGAGCTACCTTTGTTTGGAGGTGAATGCTGGTCTGACACCATGAGCCAGGCTGTGCCAGGCTGCGACCCCGAAAGTTGTCCACGGAGGAGATATCGCGCATGCCTCGATGCAGCTCACAGCGACGGACCACGGAGAGAAGCAACCTAGCAAATCCTGTCGGGTCTCTTTAGTCAGTCGATCTGCTAGAAAACTGAGCGGAAATAAGGCAAGGGTTCCAAAGGTTGGCTATTTCTGCCTTCCTGTGCATCCGAAGACAGACAGGGGGCTCACACCCACGGTGAAGGCGTTGGAGGTCTGAGCGATGGCGCCGGCAGACGAGAAGGTTTTGCCCATGGCGGGCAGGGAATGTTTGGAGCCGCTCCGGGACGCTGCCTGAGAGGTGCGCGTCATGACCTGAGTCTGAGCTTCCGGGAGGGATTCAGGACTTCGGCGCTGTCTCTTTTCGTGAACCTACAAGCCGGCACAAGCCGACACTGTGGCGCAGTATATACTGCAACCCCGACAGGCAGCATGCTTTCCGTCAGGCAAGATCAAGCTGTTGCATCCTTGTGGTGACTTGGTGAACCTGGTGGTCGGTCGATTTCGGCACCTTTTCAGCAAAGCGGCTGATTGCTTCGAATCATACCTGGCCGCACTGGCCTCAAAGACCGCACATTAACGCAAAGAGCAAGGGGTACAGCTTGAAGAATACATTGAGGAACTCAAACCACCAAATAAGCAACATATTTGCACTCAACATGCACAACACTGAGCATCCGGTTTTGCATCGCAGCAACTTGTGCTGTCAGCCCGGATGCAGCGAACGGTGAACAGCATGCCCTTCAGTGCTCTTGCCAAGACACGGATTGCTTCGAGCTATATCTTGCTGCGCTCGCCTTGCACATCAACAGCGCTGATCTGGTATGAAGGATGAAGTAGTCAGAGGCTCCCAGGAACAACCATACAAGCCACACGGTCCACGGACTGACTTGTCAACCAGCAACACGAGCTGGTAGCGAGCTTGCTGTAGTACTCGCAGCTTTTTGAAAAGAGGTCCGTGCTACCCGGGTACCCCGCCTTTAAGAAACACAGCATTCCAAGAGATTGTCCGCTCTGAGAGCTCAGGCTCTGCGTTTCTAGTGTTCAAGCAGACATCCGGAGCGCACTAGCACTAGGGGTCATCAGCCATGTCTCCCCAAACCCAAAGTACGGGAGGATAATAAGGCCCGCTGCCTCAACATACAGTACTTTGCATGTCAAGGGCTACTGTAGCGACGAAAAGCCGGTCTCACGCTGGAACCTGCAATCGTGGGTATGCTTGCAAGCGTCCTTCGATGTCATTCTCGTTGGGGGATAGGAGCCAGATCCTTCGAGGCAAACACCAGCAGCCGGGAATGTCTTGTTGGGCTCAAAGACAGTCATGTTTCTCCGTATCTCTCCACATATACGAACTGATGTGTGATCCCGCACACTTGTCGCAGCTCCAGAACATGGACATACCATGCATTTCTGACACATTATCCCCGGGCACGGGAAATCTTCGACCGTCCTCTGCTTTGCTTGGAGCCTTGGCGACCTTCATCAGCACGCCAATCTTGGTTGTAGACAGGGAAACCAAGGAACCCAAACCAACAAAGCCAACCAAGCCGAGAACTTGCGTGCAGCCGAAGCGGCTTTGGAGGCTGCGGTAGAGCAGTGGATGCCCCGCAGGCAGACTGTCGGGTCTCGGAAGCCAGTCTTTCTGAGTGCCTGTTTGGCCACAGCTGTGTGCAAATGACACCCTTGCAAGACTCATGGTTTGCACGCGTACGCGAGACACTAGACGAGGACACGAGGCCAAGCGAGGTTTCTCAGGCTTGGCTTACTGCTTTTGCAGCAGCGACTTTACAAGCTTGGACCAATGGCTACCCGCTACCCGCCTTGGGACCACTGCTTGTGGATGTGTATTTGGTTGGCACCTCGCGGCCCAAAGTGCAAGCTGGGAAGGACAGAAGGGCAGGAGGTATCCCCAAGGCGATGCGTTCGGGCAAGCAGCCCACAGCCTGCTTCGGCTGAATGCTTCGCTTAGCTGTGGAGTGAGCCCCGCACGAACCAGCTGGTGGTTGGACGCAGCTGCGGAAGAACTTCCTGTCAAAGTCTTCAAGGCCTGGCTCGCGAAGCTTCGTGCCGCACCGGGGCATCAGCACAATACACAAAGGCAGAGAGACGCTCTGTTTGCCTGTGCCCCAGCCACTTGCAGCATAGGCAGTGTCCGGGACCTCGGAAATGGGGCATCTAGGAATCAAGACGTCGATGAATTCACATGATCAGCTTTTCCATGCCGACGCGAAAAAGAATTAGCGCAGCCTGGCCACGATTGCATCTTTCGATGCGGCGAGCCCGGCACGGACTGCCTGCAGTCAGGCATACGCATGCATATGCAGTGCATGCGACAATGAGTCGGACCCTGGCGAATCTGGAGTGCTCTGCCAAAGCTGTCTCCCCAAGGACTGCCAAGATGCCCGGGATGCAAGGACGCGGGGCGAACAGTGCTCGGCAATGCGAGTGCCATGGCGTGGGATTGGGAGCCACGTCAGCTGGGAAACTAGCGTAGGCTTTGCAGCTCATCTTCGAGTGCGATCTGCTAGTCCGAGCTCAAGCGTTCTGTGTAGGCTTGTGGGCTTCGGGTGCGTTTGTGTATGCCGGGTGGGGTGCGGGCGGCGGGGTGTTAACTGGGGGGTGTTCCGCTGCACTCATACAGGAGGGGTGCCTGCTCTGGAGGAACTTCTCCGGGATACTTTCAGGCATGTCAGCATGTTGGTTCATTCAGATGGGGCGCAGCTGAGAGGCTTAGCCTCTTTGCACCCTCTAGAAGCTGCATATGGTCAACAAGGCAAACACGTCAACATGCACATTCTGTCGCCCCCGAATCTGACGAATAGTGATATGAGAGGTTGCTATCAGCCGGCACCACTCAACGCAGGGCCATGACACAGTCAGCCTCTTCCTTCGAAGACCAGCAGCTTCCTTGTGCAACACAGGATGTAGAGGAATAGAAATACTTCATGCTGATGCTTTGCCTCAGAAACTCATAGCAAACTGACGGGCATCGAGTTCATCACGGTCCTGAACATTCCGAAAGAGGCTTTGGAAGGCGTTCCCCTCCCAAATGGGCAAGTCTCCTGACATCCAGCTGGCTTCAGGCTTCGATAGCGGACAGCTTGGGCTCAGTTTGGATCGACACAAGCTCAGAACATCAGACAGCTTCACCAGATACAAGTGGAAGCTAAAGACGCAGGGGGGAGGTCCTCTCAGCAGGTCGTTCTTCAGCAGACGGCCGCTTGGATCCACAAACCTGAAGGCATGGATTCGAACCCTAGCTCTCAGCGTGAAGAGAGCAGACAAGCCACGGATATTCCAAGGACAGGAGGAAGACCATGAACGTCCCCGCTGCCCAAAGATCCACCTTCAAGCAGAGGCATAGACACTCTGGCACGGTGCGTTCATCTTCCGGAATCGTTGGCTCGTTCCAAAACTCTGCTGGCACTCACTGCGGCCGGGTGCCGGCCTTGCAATCGTACCCGTTTGACTTCGGCAGCATATGCCTGATGGCTAGTTCGACAAGAAACATCTGCCGCTGGCTCAGGTTTTACATGCTCAGTCGGGTCTCTGGCATTTCTGGCGCCATGAAGGCTGGTGTGCCTGGGCTGGACAAGCGAAGGCATCTTAAGGGGTTCTATGGGGTTCTCAAAAGTTCTCAGAACGAGGCCCAGCTTCTCCGTGAGGAGCTTCTCTCCGAGTCGCACGGCCTCCAAGATCGCAACAGAGATTTGAATCCTCCCGTTTCCTCCAATCCTCCTGTCTAAGGACCGTGCAATCCCGAAGTCTCCCAGCCGCAGTCGGGAGCTGGAGTCTCGTGCATCACCTGCCCATCGAGCTGCTCGAGCACCGTGCACGGCAGGAACATGGCCGGCCTAGAAGCATCGCATTCTGCGGCTTGATGTCTCTGTGGCAGATCTTCCGGGAGTGGAGGAATGCAATTCCAGACCTCAGCAAAAGCTTGCACAGTCACCCCCCAGCGATAAAGACCTAAGTCTCAGTCCCATGCAGAAGTTGCTGCATGAAGGCTGCGCAGCGGGCTTCGCTGAGACCGTCATTTAGGCTTCTGGCTGCATCCTTCCGCAAACCCACAGCTGCTGCAGCTGCTCGTTTGATCCATCCCGGCTCTGAAGCACAATGGATACTGAACGTCCTCCAGATTCCCTCCATCACAAAGCTCAAGTAACAGGTAGAACTTGTGGCTGGTGTCCTGCCAGACTTGTCGCGTGACACTTCTTTTGTCGAAGACTGCTCCTTTCAGACGGTAGAGCTATTCAGCTACTCCGTTTGTTGTCGCGCAGGACTCGTGGCGCGGCTCAAGTTTATGTCACTGGTCACTGGTGGCCAGTTTTGGAGTGCAGCTTCATCGGGCATCCGGAAGAGCGGGTAAGTTTGAATCATTTATCTGGCTGCGTGTCCGCAGCAATTGAATTGCAGCTGACAGTGCCGAGCCTTCTTTATTACACAGATGTTGTGCGGCAGTGTTGCGTCTGTAAGCAAGAAATGGCGCTTTTTGCGGCACCAAAGCACTGCAGAGCACAAGTGGGCAACTCAAGCAGAAACTGGCTCCAGGAAGTCGTAGAGCTGAACAAACCAAGGTTGCCCCTTGCACTCACCTCGGCGAACTGAGGCAATCAGAGGGCCGAGGCTGGTACTGAGGCATCCTGTCCCGGGCCCTCGGGGCGGGGCGCATAAACTCGACCTCGGCTGTGACCAGCGTGTCAGGAACCTGCAAGTGGCCGGAGTGCTGATAGGAACGCGCGTAAGGCACGTGTCACTGAAGAGTAGCGGAATAGCGGTGCGCCTTCATCTGCTTCATTTTCGCTTTGTCTAGTGACTTCACCGCGACGGCCTTGGCCACTGGCTTCATTGAACAACGATGCATCTTGTCCGATCATGTCATTTCTCTTTGCGAAGACTACAATCGCACTGCCGTGCTTCGTGCGCACTGCACACCTTCGGCATCAAATCCCAAACCCTCACTCTGCATCCTCCGAGTGCCAGGCGCAGCCTCCTCAGCAACCCAAGAGCAACTTTTCCGGACATTTCTGGGACAGGCGTTAATTCCGATCTGCAAGAAGTTGCGAATCCATCTCTGTTGCCAAACCCCAGTCAAGCCCGCCATAAGTGCTGGCGGCAGTCCATCCAAGTATCGGCCACGCCAGACAGTCCCAAATGCCCTGAGCTGCAACAAGCATTGATTTTGCGAGTGTCAAACAGTGGAACATTGCTGCTCTGAATGCACAGCCGTGCAGTGCTCGGTAAAAAGATCGGGTCGGGCAGCGGCCGCCGCTGTTCTGAGCCGACGGCCCGGATCCCAAAGGCTTGGAACTGGAGGAAACCTCCACGACATCTTCCAGCCTGGCCGGAAGGACTACATGGTCGACTTGTAGGAGCCCAGAGAAAACTGAAGCGCCCTGCTTTCTTCCGACCACTGCATCCACCGCTTGTTGCAGCACGGATGGAGAGGAGGACCTTCGGACTTGAGATGTGTTGAGACGTGAGTCGGCCTAGAACTCCCCCTTCTGAGCTCAGCTCAGCTGAGCCCGTGCTCTCGGCCCCATGCTCTGGCGGACTTCGAGGGGCGCGCAGCGCTGGCTTTGGCACTGCTTTGGGAGCCTCGATCGGCCAGGTGAGGTCGCAGGCGCGGGCGGAAAGGGGGGGGGGGGGGGGGGGCAGAGTGGGTCGCAGGCTCCAGGGGGCAGAGTAGCCGCTCAACTGTAGCACGCATTGAGATGTACAGTAGACGTGGGCGCGAACATACTTCCAGGATCCGGGATCCGCTCGGGGGCTCTCCTGAAGGCTACGCGTGGACCCTCACCCGCGTGATTCTCGGGCGAGCTTTCAACGGCACATGGGGCGATCAGTGCCGGCTTGGGTGCCGCCGGCTTTTCCGAAAGGTCTGGGGCCCTGGCTCCAGCATCTTGCCGGACCTGTTACCACCAGGCGATTTCCCGCTTGAAGAGTTCATGTCCCCCATTTCCTGTTGAGTATATGTGGCCGATCCGTATTCAACGCTGTAGAAAGCAGGCTCGCGCCCTTCCATGCAAGAGCTTCTTGTGCCGCTGCTGCTAAAGAGGAGCCTCTTCCGACACGGAGGTGCTCTGCCCCATCGGCTGCCTGAGTGCAGCGCAAATCTCCAAGGCTGCGAGTGCTGTGACCGTGAACACCATCTCGCTTGCTCAGGCAGCTGCCCCGCGGACACTCGTTCGGGGCGCGGGCACGGGCTGACACTTTCGAGTAGACCGAGGATTCGATAATCAAGCAAAGTGAGTGTTGGAGTAACGCCGATTCTAGGCGTTTACAAAAGTTACAACCTCCAATTGCCAAGGACTTTTGGTTTGTGTCCTCTCATGGCAACCTTGCGGCTCTCACTTCGGGGAAATGTGGGGCAACTCGAGCCGGGGCATGAAGGACAGTCACATTCGCGTTTTAAGCATAAGCTGCCTACTTCTGTGGAGGCCTAGCTGCAGACCCCACGGCTGACAGCCAGGACTGAGAATCGTAGCAAGCCCCGGGCCCGAGCCCACGAATGCAAAGCGACTGAAGCTGTTTGTGTCCTCGTAGACACGGAGATTCCGTGCCCGCGGCATGGCTCTAGCAAACTAGCTGCCGAGGCAGAAGCAGAGGATTTTGCCATCAATGTGCCGATGTAACTAGTCAGGTTTAGCTTACCCTTCCTTCACAATGCACGGCGGGCTTCGTCTGTGCATTCGCCTCGGCATGTGAACCTTGCGCAGCATAGGCATAGATATCAGATACGAGTATGGTATAACACAAGGGTGTTGGATTCGCCTGTGCCAGCGTTGTGCCTGACAGTGGGAGCGTGCGCGCGCTGCAGGCCCGACAGCTCCGGTGAGACTTCTGGGGCATCAGGGAGTATAGGTGAGGGTGAAGAAGGGCAAGCCAGCCTGGGCGGATGAGGGACCGTTGTGGTGTCTGTTCCATGCCAACGATCACGAAGATTATCAAGAAGGATTTTGGCGTTGCCGCTTCCACCACCTTTTTTTCTCGAGCGGTCGCGAGAACCTGCCGGCGCACGGCATAGGCATCGCCGACCCTTAGCAGTCAAGCCAATGGGATCTCCCCAACAGTACCTCTGCCTCTGTCTGCACGCTGCGCGCATGAGCTAGCACAACTTGCGGGATGCCGACCCGAAGTCATTGCTGCCAGGTAACAAGAAGCGAACAAAGTTGTCACCCCTGAGAGGGCCGACAGCCTCAGTCCAACAGAAGGCAAAGCCCCCAGTCTAGAGCACCCGTGAAATTCGCTATCTACTCAACACCTCCGTGCACCAATGGTCTAACTCCAGACCTCGATGAAGGGGGCACGCTTCTCAATTCCTGCTGGTTGTAGCTGCATCGGACTACGAGCCTGTAGATACGTTGCACGTCCGGTCCCATGCCTGGATCGTTTCAAGTCACAACGTTACAGCCGCCGGCTGGACATCAATGATACTAGGGACTAGCATATAGGTGAATGCCACAATGAAGAGTATCGCAAGACACAAGCAGACCCCCCCTGCACTCATTCGAAAGTGTCCGAGTGTCGAAGACGCTCGGGGAAAGCACCTGGCGATCGGAATGCTTGTCGAAGCACATTTAGTTCCAGCCCATTTGGCTAGTGCATCCTTGTGGCCTACACGACAGTAGTACTTAAGTCTTCAGGAGCCGCTTGCGCCAGTCGGCCTTCCCCGTCTCCGCGTCAGCCAGCTGGAAGGTCGCCTGCCGCGTCTCTCCGTCCCCCAAGCTTCTCATCAGTATGGCTCCCTCAGGCCTTGTCTATCGCCAAGAACTGCGGGTGACTGCTCAGCTGACCGTCCTTTCTGAGGTCAAAGCTCGCAGCTACGACAGCGGCGCTGAGACGGCCCGCAATGCAAGCTGCGACAGCTCGGCATTTCAGCGTAGCTCGCGCGACAGCCAAAACCCTTCCCGGCCGTGCGGTGCTTCGGAGCTCTTGGGCGTTCCAAGGCGGCACGGCGCAAAGACGCCGGTAGCCAGCTCAGCTGCGGCGTGGATCCAAGCAGAAGTGCTACGACGGAAACCTCTCAGGGCGCATGCACTCTGACTGTGTCAGCTGGCGGAGTTGAGCTGAGATCGCGGCATCAGAAACGTAAAGCAGCTCTTGCGTTGGTCCACGCACTCGGCAGCTCCCGTCGTCCTGGACTTCCAGGAGCTCCGACTCTGCCTAAGATGGGAGTCTGTCAAGTCCTTGGCCTTGCCGTGCCTTGCAATGACTTGCCTGCCTTTCTCAAGTGCCTCTGAACTGCCAAAGGCGTGTAGCGCTCGTCTTGAACTGCTCCAGTCATGAGCTGCGCGAGCCACTCCTCCTCCTCGTACATTCCGTTCCCCGTGTGAGTGCCGAACCTGTCCGAAGTCCGAAGTCTTTCATCAGAAACTTTCAGGCTCACCTGGACCTAATCAAGGTCCATTGCTGGAGATCCATGCAGACAAGGCACATTTTCCCGACCTTTGTGCTCGGCGCCTTTCCGCGAAACCTGAAGTTCGCAGAGCTCAAGGGCTGGGCCGGGCAATTGGCCCTGACTCACGATCCTCCTATGCATTGACTAGGCACGCAGCCGGCTCGTCTATCATGCACCGTGCACGAGGAACGTTGCACCCTATCCCTAACGGCCCTGCAGTGCATGGCCACACGGCTGATTGCCTCGTCTATGTGGCACGCTGTGGGCAGTAGGCGTATTGCGGGTGTGCCCATAGATACGCTTCACAACCCGTCACCCCCCCTTTACGATAGCTGAATATCCGGAGTGCTGCGCGGCCTCTGAAAGGATAGTATGCGAGAACAAGCAAACCTGCGGCTCGATTCATTCCAACCAGAAAATCCGAACCAGCAACTTCCTGTATGCAAGGTTGTAGACCCCTGCCGAAGATTTACACCCGCCTGTTGACTCCGTGCAGTGGTCTTTGTGCAGTCATGGAACACGTGGGTGATCCGCACCTTGCCTCCCAAGAAGCATGACGCTTGTCCACGCCAGATGTAGCAAACTGACTAGCATCCCATGTTGCATCGCTGCGTCATGGCTGTATCACAGGGAACAACAATGCCAACAATGCCATGAGAAGTCTATCACGTGACAGCTGATCCCAACCTCGGCGAAGTGCGTGCAGGATGGCATCGGCCGCACTCAGGCCGGCACCTGGGTCGTAGGAACTGTCAAGAGACCTCGAAGAGACTCCTTCTTGCACGCAAGATTCGCTACTGATACTCAGGCATTGGCCCACCACTAACAGGTGACCTATCTTCTCCATGAGAACCTCATTGGCTCATGTTGGCAAGGATTCCCGCAGCATTAAGCACTAGGCAGGCGGTTGCTGATCCCATCCCTGATCGTGGCACTTCCGGCCCCCGGTAAAATGACATCTGCGGCCCGGCAGCCGGAGAATGAATGGGAGGACGGTGCGTGACCCAGGCCAAATCTTCACCTGCACACAGCGCTCAAAGATGCAGGCTCACAACATCTAAAGTCTGTTCTGCTGATCAAACGCAGCAAAGCACTCATCTGCAAAGAGCACCAGCTAGCTACCGACAGTCCACCACGGGACGAGTGTACGAGAAGGGATAAGGCAAGCCACTAAGAAGGCCTGGAATGCCCAATGTCTCGGGAAGGTCCGCAGTGCCCATGGCCAGTACCACTGCATTGGCCTCTTCCAGAAGCAAACACATTAGACAGCAGGCAGGTTGCCGTGTACTGAACTTGCACATGCCTGGTTTTGCCTTGCGCGGGCTTGCAGGAGTTCTACTACGTCCGGGAAACATGCAGAAGCTGCAGCATCCAAAGCAGACTGGCCATTTGCAGCCAGTCGCTCGGTGTCAGCACCTGCTTGGCACAGGCATTGCACCATCTCGAGCTGCCCCTCTTGGGCAGCTACGAACAGGGGCGTGGCACCATCTTTGCCTGCCACATCCAGGCTGGACCGTAGCTCCACTAAACACTGGACCATCTCCAGCTCTCCACTAAGCACCGCAATAAACAAAGCGGTCGCGCCGTGCTGTCCAACCCTATTCAGGTCGGCCGATGCTTTGGCAAGAAATGCGACCGTCTGCAAGTGGCCACTTTGGGCCGCGATGAAAAGGGGCGTGGCACCATCCTCTGCCGGTGCATTTAAGTCAGCCTTGGCCTGGACCAAACCTTGGCTGACTTCTGAATCCCTCCCCAAAGTTAAAATTTTAGCCTGCCTACCTATTGTAGTTCATACAAAGTTAAAGTCCTAAGAGCCAACCAGAAAAACGCCAAGAAACAACGCACAATCCTCAGGTGCCCATCTTGGGCAGCACTGAACCTGGGTCGATCCAAGAACTTACAAACTTTTAGCTACGCGGCAACGAACACATGCGCGATTTCAGTATACAGGTAGGTATCAAAGTCCCTTGTGCTGCGCGGGTTTGCCTGATACTTGTAGCAAGCAAGTTGCAGCGCTGTGGCGCCATGAAGCCCCGGCCCTCACATCGCATCTCGATCAGTCGCAACAGTAAGCTTCTGAATCTGTTTTGCAACATGTGCACGTGATGGGTACAATCACGCAGCCGTGAACCCTCGAGCCAACCGAGGCTGCGTCTGTCCAGCTCCACTGATGACTCCACCAGGACCGAAACCTCGCTACACAGGAAGATGTCTCTGCTCTTCTTGAAAAAGGCAGGACTGAGAGTGAACAATGGGAGCCGCTCAGTGCTCGCTCAGATTGCACCAGAGCGAGACACTGGAATTTCTGAGCACTCGAACCTCGAAAGCTTTCTGTAAGCTGCCTTCTAACCTCCTGAACTCCGTCGGAGGGCAGTGTCGGCCACGCCGCTCCGAACTGCGACTTGAAGTGGCGTGATTCCACTCGGACCGGCGTGGTCCTCCGCTAGATTTGCGCTTCCCATCTGTAGCACTCGGACTTGGACTGCGTCCTTGTTGGCACGGGCATCGATCAAGAAGCGAACCATCTCCACCTGAGAAAAGCAGCAGAAGCTCCGGACCAGGCACTCACTATCCTTCGAGTCTACTCGGTCTACCTGACCGTACTTGGCAGCAATGAACAGCGGGCTGGCTCCATGAAGACCGATCTTGTCCTCCGGTTCATGGGAGAAAGAGCAACACACCGCATTCAGCCTGTGCTGTTGTTTAGCCTGCAAGTGTGGGTCCTTGTCGGCACCAGCTTCGATGAGGTACTGAACCGAGCTAAGCTGGTCATACTTGGCTGCGACCGACAACGGAGTCGCCCCATGCTTGCCCACTTTGTCCTTGCAAAGGTGTTCGTTGCCAAGCAGTTCCAACAGCCGCAACCTGGCCCTCGCAAATGGCATGCAGGGCACTGCATGGTGACTGTCAAACCAGTCAAGTCCTTGTCAGCCCTGGCCTGCACCAAAAATTGAACCATGTCCAGCTGCCTCAGAGTCAGCGGCTCGCCACACTGCAACCTACTGCAACCTACTTCGAGGCTCTGGGGCAGCCGCCCATGCTTGGCTGCCATGGACAGCAGTGTTCCGCCACAGACGCTGCCTTCGACGTCTGCTTCTGCAGCCACCAAAAGACGCGCCTCTGACGGCCAAAGAGTGGTGTGCGAGCTTTTTGCACAGGTCTTCTGACACCCGCCCCTGGCCGAGGCACGTCTTCTAGCGATCCGCTCTGCGTTGCGATAGAGAGGGGAGTGGTCCCGTCCAAAGCCTTGACAGGGCATTGCGCATTCCATGATGTTCTATACCTCTTCTAGGCATCGGACCAGGATATGCAGTGCGAAATGCACAGGACCGGAACCATGCCCTGCTGCACCATACAGTGATCCAGCATAACAAGTCTATGAGTACCAGCCGTCTCAGGCAAAGTACTGCCAGCTGCACATCCGCGGCGTGCTCCACCAAGTATCGGAAGATGGGCCACCTTGGAGGCCAGGAAGGCAATCTTTTTGCAGGGGCATCAACGGCATCCCTTGGCCGACAAGCCGCTGGTTGTTGACGGCTGCAATGAGTAGTGGCGTCTCGCCGTCACTCGCAGCTTGGTTCTTCTGCGCACCAGCATTCCTTAGTAGCTCCAATACGCAATCAGAAGAAACATGACTGCTGAGTTATAACCACGCCACACGAGCAACCGGACGATCTCCAGTCTGCCATACCTTCAAAGCACAAGTCGAACTCGCGTCTCTCTGGAAGCTTTTCTACGGTGACTATACTGTGTGACCTGTCTGCGAAGGGGACAAAACCCGCGGACATACCCTGTCTCACAAACCTTCGCTTCAAGTCAGCCCGGTAGCTCCGCGGCAATGAAGAGCGGTGTCTCGCCGTGTGGTCCTGCTCAACTTATCTGAGTTGCATTCCCTCGAAGCTTCGAGGATGGTCTTCCACGACTTGCTTCTGTTTCGTGGCGATTTGACCTGTCTGCCCTGCAGTCTGGGATTGAAGCGGGCTCTCGTTTAGGGGAGCTGGAGGTCTTCACCTGGGACCTGATTCATGAAAAAGCCTTTTCATGTGTGTCCTGATAGAACGCAGACACACACACACACATGCACAGAGAATCACAGAGACAGACAGACAGACAACACGCATGGGCATTGGTGACGAAAACTGCTTGTCCGATTGGCCTGTGATGTTGACATCGGCACCAACTCCGATGAGGCACAGCAACACCTTTCCGACATTCGTCGAAGTTTGCAATCCCGTCGTCACATCGCGCACATCCGAATCTGAATCCAACTGTGGCCGAGATCTTACACGATGGAGTTTGTCCGACAGCCCCAGAGAACTCTTTAGAAATTACAGTGCTTGCGCCTCCTGCTGCCCGTTTTGGGCAGCGCTGTGCAGTGGCGCCACATCGTCTCGGGACACAGCATTCACGTCCGCCCCACCTGTACTGGAGAAGCAATCTGGGTAACTCTTGAGGAAAACCAAAGAGAGCTTGAAAGTCGGCCAGTGCTGTCAAGGGTCAGTCGATCAGCAAGCGCATGGACTCCACTTGCCCGTATCTCGAGGCGATGTGCAGAGGCGTGACCCCGTCATCATCCTTCGGAGTCACTGTGTTTCCACACATGCACTTTTCGTGGCAACAGACGATGTGGAACTCGGATCTAGTGTCGTCTAGCAAAAACACTATGCAGCGGTGCTCGATGCAAGCGCAGGGCAATCTGACTCCAAAATCACCCTTTAGTGCAGCTTTGCGGGCTGGCTTGTCAAAATCTGCGCAGGCGTGCCCTCAGTTTCAGTGCCGGTAACGCCACTATTCTTCTAGAGAGGGTATGTTTTGCGACACATCTGATTCATTTGATCGCCACAGACTTACATTGTTCACTGGAATACGGCTACATGGTTGCAGTGTATTGATATATAATCATATGGTTCTGTAACACCAGACAGAAGCAGCTCAGCTCGCATGGGACTGTACCGCTGTACCGTGCTTACGGTATGTAGCCAGATGGGCCGGATGCCTGCGATGCTCCTGATGCGACTGTTCATGTGGCTTTGCCGTTTGCATTCCCGTCACTGCTGCTACAAGACGACACGATCTGCGGGATGCTGTGTTCAATTAGATGCAGCGTCTGGAATCCTCGGTTGTCGTCCATGGTAAAGTGCGATGAAACGTGTAAAGGCCAAAGAACAGCATTGAGGAAAGTTACCGACAGTTCGAAGTATGGACGCCTGGTGCTTGTCACACGCCTCGATCTCACCAGCTCTGGTAATGATGCTATAGCGGCTATTCAATAGCGGCTCGGCGACTACTGATGGCGATACCTGGTTGTGCCCATGACATGCCGTTACTGCAGTTCTTGAGGACTCTACTACTTCGAGTCGAGCTCATGCTTCATCCGATTCCCACATCCCTCTTGTCGGCATCCATTTCCGGCTGGACGTTACACAGCAGATCAACAAGCAATACTGCGGTTCAATTAAAGAGCCCTCGACAAAAGCCGAAGCCCGGAGGTACTCCGTGAGACTCGCATCTCATCCCTGGACCTGATCGCACAGTGGCCTTGGTCCTTCTTGGTCCTACATGGGGGCCCCTACAGAAACTTTCCATCGGCAAGGTGCTCAAAGTCTCGAGGACGGCCAAATTACCGCCCCGACTGGCCTGCACAAGCTATGCAGGGAATGAGCCAAAAGGTCCGCTCGCCAAACTCCGCTTGCAACTTGCAGGGCTTTGTGCAGGTGGACCTTCCACGCCGCTGTTTCCCCACGCTCATCTGCAGCGTCGGGCGTCTGGAAGTTGAGCAATTTGGCCTCAAGCTTGCTCGAAACATGAACTCTACAGTCTCTACAGTCCAAACTCTCCTTGGCCTCGCTCCGTTGGAGGCGCTGTCTTTGCACTTTGGGTTGACTCTTACCGTTATCATCGACTGCAAAAAACCTCGAGGATACCTTCACCATCCTTCACCCAGCAACAGCCCGCAACGGATTCTCTGCCACAATGTGATGCCAGAGAGTGGACAGCAAATTGTTGGGGGGCCAGGGTGCTGCGGTATACAATCCGAGATTCGGCAACCTCTTTGGCATCGCCTGCAGCAGCCTGCAGTGTGGAACGAAGCATCCGTATTCAAAGGGGTTCAGGGCTCAGTGAAGTCTGCTCGGAGATGCTTGTGAAGACTGCGCGTCTCTGCCGGGACTTGCACCCTCTTGGCTGCTCATTGCCCTGGCATGCCATGGCATGCAGTGCAGGATGGGATTCCGCTTGCAGCCGAGATACCGCTGCTAGAAGCTTCGATGTGTAATCCTCCACGTAGTCCATGAAGATAATCTGTATCCTTGGGGGACGACATGTTGAGATTCAGGGTTTCCGACCTCTCGGGTCAGGTCTATGTAGGTCTTGGGTGCCCGAAGAATCCGCGCCCGTTCCCTCTTCCCTCTTTGGCAAACCTTGGGTGCCAACTGCAGGGCCAAGGCTCTCGTGAAAAGCTTCAACTTCTTCCCACTCCGTGTCCTGACCCCGAAATCGTCCCGTGACGAGGTTTGCAGCATGTACCGGGTCCGGGCATTTGATGCGGGTGCAACCGATCGCACATCTTGGGGCAGCCCAGTTGCTTCGGAGAGGACCCTGCTACCATGCAGGAGCTGCTGCCGAAACACGGAGATGCGTCGCTCGTCCTGGGAAGGGACTACTCTAGAGCATGTTCAATTCTTGCTGCCCCGCGAATCCCAAGAGCGGAAAGCTCCGCCTTGATTCGGTTCTTGATAGCGCTGACGGGATCACAAGGGCCCTGCATCCCTGGTGGTCGGCCACGGAGGTCTTCGATGTCCTGGACGGAAAGCATTCGAATCTTCATCATGTGCGGCGAACTGTTGCGTGGATTCAGTGGCCGGTGTGAATGTGCAGAAACATGTCACTGGCCACGGTCCAGACATGTCTTGACAGCCAACACAAGGACGGCTTCACTCCATTGTCAGCTCGTGACATATACAAGAAACGGGTCCAGCTGCGCGACAAGCTCCCCACTCAGCGACACAATGCGCAACATGGCGGCGCATACAGATGCACAACTGCATCAATCTTCCACGAGGTTTGTCGCGTGCCGTCTCTGCCGGCCCTGCATAGCTAGATGGAGATCTAAAGTGCTCTGTTGTGCTCTGTTGTTGCCTAGCTGCATCGACGGGTGATGCGAGGTCTAGCAAAGGGACGTCCCTGGAGCAAAGCATGCCGAGCAACAATTGTCCTAGTCCTAGTCAAGTGAACATCAATACAGACTGCTCGAACACATGAACGGCCGCCACATCTCCTGGTATCGAGTCAACAAGCAGAGACCCTGCCTTGACCTCAAGCTTGGGACCACAGGAGTCCGCCTCCGGCAGAAGCGGACCCCCTACCATCCAGTCCCAAGCGTCGGAGTTGACAGACGAATTACCCTTCCCAACCACGCTGATGCCTCCATGAGTCTGACACGCACCAAGAAAGCTGACGTAGCTGACACCTACGCACGTGAAGTTCCAAGGCCTCCTCCGCAGAAACGGATATCCTCATGGAGACGGGAGTGCGCACTACGGTATCGGTGCAGACTCGTAGACGGGCCCTGTGAGATCGTGGTAACCTGGTAGAAAAACTAAAGCTGCGAAATCCTTTCACGTTACGCACTGTGGCCCGAGTATCTACATCCAACATTTTTCACCTTGTCGCAAATCCTCTGCAGCACGCATGTGACAGAGGCATTCAGTGCATCGTTCACGCAGCACCATCAGTTTCCACTACGTCTGCCACATGAGACATCAAGTGCTGCAAAAGGCGTGAGATGGACAGGTGTGCTGTGTGTGCTGACATGTGCTGACGAGCATCTGAAGCTTCCACGAGTCTCCCTCCGGCACCATGTCCGTCACGTTCCCATTGATGAAAGAGGACGGTAATCTGCGTGCATATTCGACATAGTATTCCTGGGATTAGGCATACTGTGAAGACCCCACCTCAAGTCGCCCTGCTACACCTACAGCTGCAGAATACAAATCTTGCCACAGCCCATCCTCCAGATACTCAGCGAGCTGCTGCCACAAGCCACCGCGGCACGCGCGAAGCTGCGAGGGCCTGCGCGAGAGCCTAGCTGGCCCCAGTTGCAAAGGGACACACGCCACATTCCACAGAAGGAACGGCGCCTCTGCACTCACTTTCTGGAGCAATTGACGTGCCTGCCGCTGAGAGGTTGCTGACGCTGTATGGTCGAAGTAGGACAGCCCTAGCCGCACGATGCTGCGCGAGGCCTCCTTCGAGCTGTTGCTTTTCAGATGCTCTTCCAGGGAATAGCCTGCGACAGAAACTGAAATCCAAGGCGATTCTTCTTGTCGCAAGTTCAGAATGCAGCTGGGCATGTCGTCTTTTTGTGATAAAGGGACCATTCCAAGAGACGACAGAAATTCTGGTCGTTTACGCAATTCAGAAAGTTTCTCGAGGAACGGCTCGACTCCAGCGAAAAATGAAAGGTTCAGCACCTGCCTAGATGTCTCCGGTCACCTACTGACATGCTTTCAACTTCCAGAGTGGCACTTTTTGATGGCATTTCATAGGATGAGACGATGGAACGTGAATTGCGACGCCTGGAAGGTCCATCCATGAGCCTGGAGATAGTGTCACCTCAACGGTAGAAGGACGGGGCGGCTAAGTGCAGCTATGACAAACGCACCATGAACAATTCCATCAGCAACCTCTACATCTGCAAAGATAACACGAAGGTCTGATCTGGGACAATGCTGTAACATGGTAGTTCAGCTATCTTCAATGACTTCTCACCTCGGACATTCCTGCAGGAAACGAATCTCTGGAAGTCCAGTGCGCTTGCTGAAACTCCGTGGCAAGCTGCGGTGGAAGGAGACATGGACTGCCAGCTGCCCCCTGGTGCACTGCAGCCTGGAGCATGTCAGTTCTCCAGCAGCACACTGCGTAAAGACTTCGCCAAGGTGCCGATCACCGCATGCCGTAGGGCCGGCTGCTTGGTGGAGCGCAGGAGCGAACGGCCGCGGCCATCGCCTGACAGTTCGGGAGACGACTAAGTTCAGTTTCTGCCATGTCACTTCGTCAGTAGCTCGAAGCACATCCCGCACGACGTCACTGTCACAGATTCCCGATGCTGCAACACCGCTCGACGACTGCTCGAACCGCTGCAAAAAGTGTAAGTGTGTGTGTGTGTATGTATGCATGTATGTATGTGTGTGTGTATGTGTATATATATATAATGTATGTTTCGGCCTTCTGGATATCGCAAAGCATCGACCAACGCAGCCTGGCCACGTTGCGACAGCTAGATACTTGCGAAAACACAGCTGCTCGCTTGCTGCAGAAAGCACGCCGGGCTTCAGCGGCTGCACACATAAGCTCACACTGACACTGCTCAATCCAGTTTTAATGCATTCACTTGGGGCACAGGGGTATGGCGTTTGTCTCGAAGGATGTACTAAGCCGAAGATGTACTCACAGTTTTGGTTTACACAGGGCATTGCCCCATGTGTCACCATTCACAGCTTCGGCTTGTCCCTGGATTTGAGACTCCGTCAACCGCCTTTGGCGGTAATTGTTGAACTTGCAGAGGTGCAAGTACCTTAGGAGACAGCGATCGTGATCGCTTCAGCAAAAGCACCCTTCTCTCCAGGCGTGCAGCCGAGATACAGAAGGGCAGGTTCCTGTTCTTGGACGATGCCCGTGCAAGCAGGCTTGATTGAAACACTCCTTGCTCGCAGGTAGACGTCGCCTGGAAGATGCAGTGACATGGATGGCAGCGTTGCTGATTTGGGCCGTCGGGACTGAGACTGACCTACAGCACGAGCGACTTGATGGAGCTTGGATTTGACTGCATGCCATTCCGACGGGCACGTCCAGTCATGCAAGTTCGGCACTCCAAGCGTTGTGGCATCTTCTTCATCATTCGGAGCATATTGCATCACGGCTTGTTCTATCTCGATGAGCTCCGTGCCAGCATTGACCAGCAGAGTCATCTCGGAAATCTCACGGAGAGGATGGAGGATCTCTTCTCTCGTTCTCTGGTTGCTTGCTATCGCTTCTTTCCGGATGTCTTGCCTGTTGGGCAAGTCTTCCCAGACCGGACTCTGAGACGGAGACGCTCGGGCCTCGGAATCCTCTTTGATGACTAGCACGTGGTGGGTCGCGGTGCGGCCGGTGCCATAGAGCTCGGGCACCACTGCATGAACGATATCTACCGGCACGTGCTCGCCCGATCCGTCTAACAGATGCACCCGTGCGCAATGTGGCATGCCACCCTTGGCCTCAACTTCTCCGCCTTCAGCGAGGAACTTGGCAAACGGCTTTTGCGACGGAGCCCCGGCCACCAGATCCACAAAACTGCGTCCGCTGAAGTTGTCATGCGTTCTGAGCAGTCGCTGCAGGCAGCTGGCATCTCCGCAAATCTTGAAGTTGCAGTCTAAGAGAACATGTCCGTCTGAAACACCCTTCAGCACGTAAGACAATGCCGTCCTGAGTCTGTCAGGGTTGGAATCACACAATACAGTAGCTACCACCAGGTAGGAAGCATGCTAGAAAGATGATGGAATCATGACCGCCTCCTCTCCCTCACAAGAAATCAGCACCCTCCCAAACAAATGATGAGGAGAAAGCGCTAGGATCGTGGTTGGACAAACATCCCTTCCAGTAGTAAGGCAATAGCCCAAACAACCCTGGGCCAGGATCACTATTTTGGCATGGCTTCGATCTGGTACCAGACATGGTGGCTACCTGTACCTTCAAGTGCATGCATGAGCAACTCGATTGATCCGCGTGATGGGAGCGGGGAAGGTGGGTCTCCACTACCAGTACCACCTCACCTCCCGCTCGAGCTACATCGCGTCAGGCCACGGAGTCAAACTCAACGAGGCATTTCCAACACCGAGTATCCCAAACCTTGTGGCGAACGCGGCCTTTCGCAACCACCAGACAGGGTGCTTTTGTTTACTGCTACGAGTACTTGGACAGCATGATATTCCTGCCAGGACACGCAAGCGAATCGGAGTCTTGCGAGTCGCAGGATGCTTTGACATGTTCTCGCACAACACTCCGCATGACGACCGGCACCGACACCACCACACCAATCTGCACGAGTTGTTGCACGACAAACCAGCCGGTGATAGCAGATGGGCCACAGGCACCGAGTGCAGCAAACACATGTGCTGCGAGAAATGCCACCACGAAAGCTGACGTTATCCTCTGCATCGGGAAGACCAAAGCCTCAGCGCACAGAACAGATTCGGACAGATTTGGACCCGGAGCTCTTTCTGACACCAGCCTGACCTTAGCAGGTGTAACGCCAGGGCACTATGACAATCTGACCAATTTCGCAGATGCCGGAGCGTCCCAGGTAATCCTCCTTGCTTTCCCAAGCACAGGAGGCAGTAACTAGGACGACAATGCAGTGGATCGCCACGCAAACGCTGCGAATTCGGGTTCGAGTCTGCTCCAGTGTTTCTACTGCACCCCGCAAGTAGAGGATGTTCAGGACAGCAAGAGCCGCGACAAAGATCAAGCGCGTGAAGCCAGGATCGATTTGGTAGTCCACTGTGGCCACGAGCAAGGAAGCGAAGTTCACATGTACCAGGCACCGCGAGGCCGTATGCCAGATGGAAGCCTCAAAGGTCAAAGGTCCCAGGGCGCAATTCCCGCTCAAGAGGATCTACGTATATGCCGTAGACAATATCTAGACTCGACCTCCCCACCGGCATGTACGGCCCGCGCCAAGAGAGAAAATATCCATTCGTTCACCCCCCCCCCCCCCCCCCTCCCTTCCGGGCGACCTCGATTTGGGCCATCTTCTCGTCCACGCGGGCATTCAGAGCTGTCTTGTCGGAGTCCTGTCCATGGCCGATGCCACACTACAGCGGGGACGGGTGTTTACACATACAGCCTGATTTGCCTCCAATCAGTACGGTCATAGAAAAAAGTGCATCATAGACATGCAATGCCTGCTCCGACTTGCCCTTGTGGTTGAGCTGGAACGGATTGACCGGAAAGCTTGGGATCGTAAGCTCACATTGGAGCCAAATCAGCGCCACACCAAAGAAGAGTAAGAACCTTTGTAAAATGTCCAGGCGGTTCCACAACCAGTCTAAAGCTCGCATCTCGAAACTGGAGTTCAACATTGAATGTATTTGCAGAACAGTGCAATAAAACAAGAGTGCTGTTATGGAATTCTCGTTCCCACAGTACACCAGTCTAACCACATAACAAAACTATAACCATGAGCCATATCAGAGACTGGAGCTCGTATCATGCACTAGTAGCTCTAGTAGTTACTAGCACAAGGAGTGCTGAAACAGTCCAAGTTTCGGCTGCTGATAGATGGTACCGAGCATAAGATGCAGATCTGGCGAAGCCATGGTGCTCGCGAGCCAAGCCGCACCACTAATCACTATAGGCTTCCCAAGCCAAGATTGGCCTCACATCCTCGAAGCTGACTCGAAGAGTCAAACTGACAAATTCTGAAGTTAAATTATGTCGGCTAACTAAACGTTGATCTCAACGTACCTGTCAGTGAGCCGTCAAGCGAGCAACATGCGTTCATGACGTGACATTAGCTCCTCTGCATGGGCACTAACAGGCACCCGCAAGGCCCACAAGAACTGGCCGGGTACCGTGGGGTTTAGGCAGCGTCGCTGGATCCCTGCAGCCAGGGTGTCCAAGCGAACCTGCAAACTCGAAGGCCCCACGACCCTCGTCTCTAACTCCTTGGAGCAAGACCCAAAGGACCTCGTCAAGAGTTTTGCCGGAGAGCTTCGCGGCCGCGTGTGCAACCTGAGCTCTACCCCAAACAGTATGAGTTAATGCCTCTGCATGATTACATATATCTGCAGGGTGATTGGTAAATGAGAAGGCATAAACATAAATAAACGATAGCAAAGTCCTAGGCGAGAACTTATAAGCACGATGACACATATTGCACAGACCTGTCTGTCTATACATGTGTATACATGCACTGCATACAAGTGCACACTAACTCATGCCGAGGTTTAAGGTTGCCTGCGATGCATACATGCACTCCGTCAGCCTGCATGTGTACATCCAGCTCGTATGTGTTCGCGGTGTTACTGTCTGTGACTGCATGAGTGTATATGTGTCGGCATGCATGATATTTTTCATATGCACACCTGTACTGCATATACTATACACCATCCACATGTCCTTGCAGTCAAGCACAATAAGAGGTCCATCCGCAGACGTAGAGACATAAATCCCCGCTTCTGCACAATTAAGCACACGTACACTCACGGAAGGAGCACAGACACATTCATGAGAATTACTCGTACCTCGTACATCCACTTACACATCTGGTCCACACATGCAGGAACTCACGTTGCACTGAACACATGCAGCATGCGCATCCGTTGTCGATCCGTCGGCCACTTGGATCCGGGCCGCAGGGTCCGAAATGCGCTTCGCAGCCACGGCAACCTACTTTCCAGAACAGGCTAGCAATTACAGCAGTGTGCGCTCGCTGGAAGCCTCGTCGAACCACTTTCTGCTGCTCATGCTGGTCTTGAAAGAGCTGAACTCACAGCAACGTTAAAGCAGCTCATGGACCTGCGGCACCAAGCCACTCAGCGCCGAGGCGACAGCCAAGCCTCGGCGACAGAAGCGAGGCTGCACAAGGATCCTGCTTCGAAGGTCTGACTCTTTCCAGGCGTGAGAAGCCCCAACTTCTCCCTATGTATCTCTTGCTCAGAGCGAGGCCGCTGGGCCCATTGCCTGAGGATCGGCGCTTCTCTCATTCGGCTGTCTGCAGACAGGTCTCTGGAAGACTCCCAAACCCATCGAAGATCGCCTACGATGACGACGTCCAGCTCCATCTCCGCGGATGCAAGGAGTGCAGCGCTAGTGCGAAGAGAAGCTCCCATGGCATTGCTAGACTTAGACTTAGACCTCTCGCGGACTTAATGACCGTGGATACCTGCATGCCATTCTTTTGGTTCTGAGGGAGGTCTTTCATGGAGAGCGAGGTTCACCGACTGAGAGTGGATGGGTCAGCTCAAAAATCATGTCGGGGCTGAGTCGGACGAGGCTAAGGGATATGGTGCCTGACATTCGAAGGCCATTTGCGACCATCTCTTGGAGAGCCAGCCCTACACACAATCAGCATTCAGCTAAGACTGCTTTCCGATCTCTCAGCAAGACGCTGCGATGCGGCTCCCTGTGCTCTCCAGCGCTAGGAGGGCCAACTGGTCAATGCCTGCCGGAGCACAGGAGGAGAGCGAGAGAGAGAGAGAGAGAGAGAAACAGAGAAATACAGTTCTGACGCTGACAGTCGTCATTGAAAATGAACAGACATGACATGAATGATGGCCAAAAACGGTCATGGAAACAGTGCAACTGGAAGGGAGTCTGGGGCAAAGACGCTCCAGAACATTCTGCTCGCTGACTTTGCGTGGAGTTGACCGCGACCTGGATCGAAACATAGGCCCAGTGTGATCAGCGCTTTTAATTTCAGTATATTTCAGTGCTGTGTAGAACTTCAGGGTTTAAGGAGGCTTGGTCTGAGGCTTCTGCAACTCTTGGCTGCTATGGGGCAAGCGTGTTCGCTTGTTTCGCTGGTGACGAGGTCGCAGTGCGGACACCGTTTGTTTGCTGTCACGACCTCGGCACTGTTTTGCTTGCCGGCGGGGCGTGCTTTGCTGTCACTGTCGAGGCGGGGGTGTGTTGCCTGTCGTCGTGGACGGAACAAGTTGAACTCAATTACTTGCTGACTAGCCGGGGCCACAACAGCATGCAAGCCACTACACCCAAACAAGTGCTCCCCAGTTTTCTGCAGAATACAACACAATGTAACACAAGGTCCACTACCAGCTGCTCAGGATCCTGGCGCGCGGGAAAAGAAGGCAGCAAGGCTACGCCGCCGCGGAAGTGCGGCCTCTAGCTGCGACGTGAGGGCGGGGCCTGGTCCAGCTGCAGATCTGATCTGCTTCAAGCATACGACCATATTTGAACACACGCCTGAACTGCCCGCTTTTGTAGGACGAATCAACCCAGATTCTGTGTGTGTGTGTGCGCAGCTGCTTCTGGTAGGACATGGCATTAGCACTGCAGCAGCTACAAAAGCAGCAACACCAGCAACAGCGACATCGACAGCCACCGCAACAGCAACAACAACAACAACAGCAGCAGCAGCAGCAGCAGTACCACCGCCACCAGACCCAGCAGCAACAGTAACAGCAACAGCAACAACAACAACAACAAGAAGGAGAAGCAGCAACAGCAGCAGCAACAAAAGGAGCAGCAGCAACAAAAGGAGGGGACGACAACGACGACGGTGCAGGTAGCAGTGATGGTTATGATCCTGTTAGGACGCCGCCCAGGGATGGCCATCATGCTGGATGGCTAACTGGTTGTGGTGTGATGGTGATGCCGACCTTGGTGATCATGGCATGCGTGTAATATTGTATGGACTGGTGGTTTCTGCTTATGTTGATTCTAACATAACCGCTATATATGCTGTGTAACACATTATCGTTGAAACCTTCGATTTTCCTTTCTGTCTGACTGAGTTTTCGTGATTCTTCGGAACTGTAGCAGGAGTACGATTTCCATCCAGCACACACACACAGAGCACTGCGGCGCGATTCATCAATTTCGCGAGCGCCAGCTTGTCGTCGAAATCCCACCGCTCTGATGGGTTTTTGTATTTTGCCGCAACTGGCAAGCATGGTTCTGACAAACGTTTTGCGTAGTTAGGCCTGCACACAATCCTCCTCTGACCACACCCCTGTGCGTATGTTGGGGCGCGATTTGTGTTCCCACCACAGCGTACTTCGACTTCTGGGGTGCATGATAAATCAAGAGACATCCTCCTTGACTGCCATGCCGGTGGAGCAAGCCGAGAAGCCAGGACAGGAAGAAGTACATGATGTGGAGGGGACAGGTGCCGGGGGAGGCTGAGTGTTACGATAGCCGCCCTTGCCTAAGTTAGGAGCAACGGCAGCCAGCGAATCGTGGCAAGCCCTTGCACTATTGCGTCAGGGAAGCCAGACTGATGAAGAACGACTTGCATGTTTGTTTGGCACCTGAAATAACGATATTGCCGAGCTCCCCACCGCCCTTGGCAGGAGACATCTAGGAAGGCCTGACAACATGATCTTCACAGCCGTAGCAAGATCCTCGAAGTTACCATGCACCTGCGGGTCGGGCTCGCCGCTGAGGACGCGCAGCCGGAGCTTCGGACTGACATCAAAAGATGCCGCAGATGTCACGGTCGAGCAGTAGTTTGATTTCTATTCTACTGAAAGCAGTCGCCCCGGTCTCCTGGCGCGCTGGCCAAGATCCTCCAGGCTCCATGCCGTGTTCCGACTGTGCCGAATGCTACCACCCTGGAAATCGGAAGGACCGACTGTTTAAGTCCTGGTTTTGCAGCCACAAGAGGCGGTAAAACGCCCTTAGTACCATCGGTGCAAGCTGTGGATGCAGCTCATACCTCAGCGAGCGCCGAGTGGGAAAAGACCGGCAATTCACAGCTAAGGAAGCCAAGGCAATTACCGGCCGGGATCTTCGAGAAGCAGCCTTTCAGAGCTCATCAAATCACGGCTCCCACTTCACCTGGGAGCTTCCGCCCATGTCGCCTGAAGTGGCTATCGCCTTGGCTCTTGGGCTCCGTGAGCTTCTCTAACCTGGTGAGATTTTTCTCTTGCAGCATTCATCTGCCCCAGGCTCTGTCAGAGGTCCGAGCAAGCCGGCCGCCTGCAGGTGTGGGCTCGGTGCCTCGACACTGGGCAATGATGGAGCCTCAAATGAGTGTGAGCCTTTGTTAATGCCCTGGGGCTTCGGGCATTGAGATCAAGGTTGGCCGTCGGCAGTTCCGAAGCGATTTGCTTCAAGGCCTCGGACTCCCGGATCCGCGCCAGACTCTCCCAGCTCCTTTTGAGCCCCCAGCCCTCTCATCTGTGCAGAAGACAACTGGTCGGGAGGCCGGCACCTGTGAAGCTCGCGAAGCTCTCTGCACTGCCTTCGGTCTTCAAGCTGAACGCTCTTTGCTAAGCGGCTTGCCAGACTGACTGAGCAATGTGAAACTGGCGGTCTATGGTACAGTCGACACACTTGCCATTCGCAATATTTCGCTATATCACGTTGGGGCAGTGGTCCTCTCGGATGATCTGGACACATCTACGGTGGCATAGAACATCGTAGAAAGCCAAGCGCCCGCTTGGTCCGAACGTGAATGAGCTCAGCTGCTCGCGCAAGTCAGGCCTGGCAACTCTGCAAAGCGGTGGAGCTTCTTGAACCCGAGAGCCCCCGAAAGTACGCACAATCTGCCCTCCAGCCTTGGACACATCGACTTCCTCGGGCTGAGGGGGCGCCTGACAGAAGAGGCCCCCCGCGGCGCGTGCGCGTCCATCTGCGTCTGAAATCTGCGTCCTACGTCCCTCGGCGTCCCTCGGCGTCCCTCGGCCGAGGCCTCCCAGAGGCGGCGCAGAAGCAGAGCCAAAGCCGCCGCCAAGAGCCTCAGCGGTCCATCTTTCAATCTTCGCAGTGAGGGGAAGCATGTCACAGAACGTTCGCTAAAGTCTGCACAGGCCCCATCCAGTCAAGGAATCTCAGATTGTGTGCTCAGGCAATCTCAGGCATGTGCCAGCAAGCCCCCAGCACAGCAGCCGTCAGAGCTGTCCCAAGGTTGCTGAGAAGGTCCGCTGCAAGAAAGGGTTGAAGTGCCACGACCTGAGACGAACAACCGTTCCTGACCGTTCCTGCAGCAAGTCGCTTGCATGGCCGTTTTTTTGCTTTGCCTTGCTTTGCTGAAGGCTTCTGAGGCTCCCACTGATCTGAAAAAGGCGTCCACAAGTCCCATGGAAGTCGCACGCGCATTCTCTGGGAACATCCGGACCTTCGCCACTCAAACGAGCTGGGCACCGGGCAACTCCCGCTAGCATCCTTTAGGAACCTTAGGTACTAAGACTGGCCGGCGCAATGGGCATCCGGCACAGATGGCGTAGAACGGCGTACCTTGGCCGTCTGGATGCTGAGTATGAGCCCAAAGTCTCAAAGTGCAACAACCTCCCCTTGGCTTCCCATCGCTTACGGCACGAGATCTCTAACAGGATCTGTATGCATCTGACAGGACAGGGTGCTCGTCATGCCCTCAGCGATGGCCCACGCAGCAAGGAGCAAATTGAAGCTCTTCCAGCCCGGCCTGGCAATGCAGTTGCCAATCATGTGCTCATCGTCATGGTGTCTTGCATCTCACATCCCACATCGGTGGTCATCGAACAAGCCTATTCGGCAATCCTGCATGGGTTTTACAGCTGTGTTGAAGATCTCTCGGGTCGAATGCACGATCAGCATGCCAGATGCACGACGCGATCTGCCAAAGATAAGAGAAGGCCAGCAACACTCCTGCGGTGCAGCCAGCATGCCTCTACTTTGTGCAAAGCTAACGAGGCCAAGGAAGCAGGCAGGTCGCCGGTCCTTGCGAGATGAGGCAACCTCCAATGAAGATGTCCCAGGCCAGGAAGCCCGTCTGCATCATCCCGATGCTCAAGGCACACCACAAACAGGTCAGAACAGCGAACCACCTTGCATGGCGGGTTGGGAGCAACATGAAGCGACTCACTCGCATTGCATGCTGCTTGCTTCGAAGTAGCACCGGACTGGAAAAAGAGTTGCCGTGCAGGTTGAAGTGCGCCTCTTCCGGACGAAACTCAGGCCAGCCCAGGGCCAGTAGAAATGATCCCGCATCTCGAGACCCAACGGATTGCACCAAATTGCACCCTCGCACTCTCCTCGCTCGCCGCGCTCCCTCTCGCCTCGAGCTCGGGCGTGACGGAATCCAGGAGCCTCCCAAGTGCCACTGCCACGGCCAAGATGGAGACAGCCAACCTCAGCTAACAGAGCTAAGCGTGCTGAGCTTAGCGTTGAAAGCACATACTTCTCGGATGTCATCATACGTTCATAGGCGAGGCACACTCGCTCCAGGTGGTTCTGTCGGACGGCAGCCAGGAAGCCAGCATTGAGGCAATTTCGGAAGTCCAGACCCTGGTGTTGCTTCACTGGTCGGCCACCAGTGATGACGCAGGAGGTGCTCCTGCGGGAAAAAGTTCGCAGCTTGAGTTGAAGCTGTCCCGGTGCAGTGCTGGCCCGGCACTCCTGGCACTCTCGTTTGTCTGAGCCACTGCCGTGAGAACAAACTTGGCGTGGCCGACTAAGCCTCTTTTCTCGCGAGAAGAGAATGTCTGATTGTTTCAACTCTGCAGCTGAGAGCGATGCCGGCCTCGTGCAAGGAGGGCCTGGGGCGTCTCGTGCAGGCCGAAGCGCAGAAGGCAAGAAAGCACCAGTGGCACACTGCAAAGAAGGAATGGGGCACCTGGCAGCCAATGAAGGATATCTTCTTCCAAAGGTTGAAGAGTGCTAGGACTGAGACCGTTCAAACTAGTTTGAAGTTACACCCTCGAGGACGGAGTTACGGTGTGCTGCGACGGTGTGCTGCGACAACTCGCCGGGTGCATCCAAACCACGCCAGTTCCCAACAGCAGGTAGACTTTGGCAGTGCAGAAGTCTGCGTAGAGTCGTCCCACAACATATCCTGGAGCCACAGCACTTGCTTGATCACAGGCTGGGAATCTCGAAACCTTGCAGTCGCGACGGTTCTCAAGTGACGGCTAGGACAAAGTAAGCCAGGCCACCCACGTACAGGAACCTCGGGTGCATGCTTTCTTGTGTCTTGAATAGGCGAGGACTCACGTTCTGCCTATCCCGGCCGAGCAGCGGGACCACCCACTCTCGCTTGGACACGGGCAAGAACTCACAAAGCAGTGCTACATCCGTCCCGACGAGGGCCTGCAAGGCAGAGGCATTTCCAATGGTGGGAGCGGCGAGGGCTCAAAGCACAGTGCATCCCAGGAGCCCCCAAGCCGACGCCGGTCAGAACGCGACAAAGGCAGAATATCCAAAAAACCTGGGCGAGAGCATGGAGATGTAAAGCACTCAAGCACCTCCATCCGGCTACAGTAGCAAACAACGGGTGGGTACTGGAGCCAGAACTAGAGTCGAAAGCACCCGACTAGCCTAGCCGTTTAGTACCACTTCCACGTTTCAGCATATTCAACAGCTCGCAGTGGCCCTTGACATGTCAGGTTGAGCCCAGCAGCAGGTGCAAAGATGGAAAGCAATGAGAACGTGGCAGCCAGAAGACCTTGTTTTGCAAGGCCGGATCTAACCTGAGTCTGAGCCTCAACCTTTTCAAATGGCAACATATGGCAACAGCTTCGGTAGAGGTAATGAGAGCCAGGGAGCATGAGATACAGAAGACAGGACGCCGACCGAAGCCTGAAGTGGACACACAGAGACACAACTTCCAGTCGTGCGCAGCTCTGCAAGATTCCGCAAGTCTCGAGATGTCTGGCGTCGAGGAGCTGTCTGCGCAGGACCCACTGAGGAATGCTGAGCACGCCATGGCGATGTGGCAGAAGATGCGCAGGTCGGCCAAGCTGATCTCGTCTGTATCCCTCAAGAACCACGGCATTAAGCGATTCAGCGCACTCCGAGCTGCCCCAATGCACCCTTCCCCTACTCAGGAGCTGGGCAGCAGTGCATCTACCAGGTGCGGGGACATGTTGTGAAGCAGCACATTCTCCGCACCATCAGCCATCCAAGCGAGCATGATGGCCAGCCTCAGCCGCATAAAGACGCAAGGAAGCTCAGGTGGATGTATCCAAAAAAGCGGCGTCACCCGCCTATCCTGTCTCTCTCCAGCCCGGGAGCACAATGGTCAGCTGGTACCGGCCCACACCACAGACGGTGAGCGAGGCATCGAGGTCAAGGTGCGGACTTTGAATGGGCTGACTGGGCCAGAGCAAGCTCAGACAGATAAGGGTTGAGGGATCAGGGTGCATGGCTGCATGGTGTGTACGGCTTGCGGAAGCAAGGAAGAGCACCACAAGCTGCCACGAGCAGGTTTATCTCACGCCGGTGCGAGAGAATGCACATCACCAAGTTGTGGACGCTGTTTCAGAGAATTACAGAATTACACATCAGTGGCGAGAATCATAGCAAGGTGGGCTGGGGAACTGTAGGCTAGGCTGGAGATATGGGGTACGGCACGGCTTCGCTACTTGAGCTACGTGAGGGTTTTCGGTGACAGACAAGCCAGGCCAAGCCACGAAACCGTTCATTTTTCAAGGCTGTTCAAAGCTGACAGTAATGGTGCGCAATGAACGTGGCTAGAGTCGGATACGCCAGCTCGATGGAGCCTTCCCAGACATGGAACGCAACCCAGGATCAGCTGTGAACCCCGAAGCTCCATCGGCTGTCTGGGTGCGATCGAAGACTTGAGAACAAGGACCTCTAGCTACTCTAGCGTAACCCTGTTGAGGCTTAGGTCTAGCCTTGTAGTCTTCCGGGAACAGGAGCCATGAGAAGTCAACAACCCCGAAGCCACCTAGCCAGTCCTACAGTCACGAAGCGTGCACCCTGCAACCCATCGCGCCTGGTCGTCGTCGCTGAACCCCTCCACTGCAGAACACAGAAGCATGCCAAGGTGAAGGCACCGAGCCTTGGCGGAAACCTATCAAAAACACGTCACCCTCCAAAAGGCAAGGCTGCCAAGCTGCTCGAGCATCCGCCGAAGATTCTCCAGCGTGGGCTGCAATTTTCGGGGGGTCTGGATCACCGTGGCCTCAGGTGGCAAAATGCCGAAAACGTGCAAATGCTTCCGGACATGCAGTCCTGAATGTGTGAGTACATGGTGGCAGGCAGACGTGTGCCCAAGCAACTCGAGCATGTCAGAACTCTCCAGCCGCATGCATCGTGCTGGCAAGTAGCAGACTGAAAAGGCGTCGAATGCGAAGCCGACTTGATGCAAACCTTTGCTTTGCCAAAGCTCAAGTCAATGCCGACGTGCCGGAGCCTAAAGCATTCAGAGTGGAGGCTTCGACAGACCTCCTCACGCGGCCGTCCACTGGCGTGTTTTTCGCGTTTAGCCGTTCGTCGCTCCCAGTTTTGTCGGGAAATGCCGACAAATTTGGAGCGAGCAGGTGACTTTCCTGGCACTGAGCCGGCTTCGGGCTGCTGCTGTTTGTTGACATGCTTCTGGCTGATTGTCCTCGGCCAGCGCCCCTGCTCCCTTGTGGTAGCGGTGTCAGGACCAAAAAACAGATGCACATGACCAGCACCACCTGTTGCAGAGACCACCTCTCTTACCCGTTCCGTTCGTTCGCCGGATAACCAAATTTACACCAAACACGAGACCAATCAAGAAAGCAACAGCCACAAGTGCCTTTGCGCGCCCAAGCCGCTACACAAGGCGGTGCCACTGGAGGTGCTGGCGGTGGCAGCACTTCCTTGAATGGCAGATGCTCGGGTGGACGAGACGCTCCGCTTACTACATACTATTACATTTGGCATCGCCAAGCAGCCGCAACGGAGGCATTGCCGCGGGCCAACAGCGACGGGCGAAAGGCTGTTGCGAACGAGATCTCCACAAGTAGCAGTAGACCATGTCGCATCAGCATGAGCAGTGCTCGCCCATGGCAATCCCAGCAATCTTAGGCCGGGAATCGCATTCTGAAAACACCGCCAGAGTAGTAGCACTGGTGTATGCAGCGAACCTTTCACACGTTTTGTAGGTGCCTGAAGCTACCCGATGCGTGCACCTTGCCCTAAGGGGCCCTATGACTGCATGCCAAGATTCCATGAAAGACTCTCTCGCAGACAACACTTTCCTATTTTGTGCCGAACAACGGTTGTAATTCAGCTTCAGCAAGTCACGCTGCACTGTCAGCAAAACGTCTGATAGTTACACGGAAGCACCGTGTCCAGATACTTGCCCAGAAGTGAATCCACCTTGGCGGCTGCGGCCGTGCTCGGTGAAGAACGCACTTTGGCTGCTGGGCTTCTGAGGCTGGGCACCACCTCCTGGTTCGGAGGGCTTCCAGAAGACCCATCCTGCAAGGGCTCCGGCCGCTTCAAGACGGAAAAATTCCCAAAGGTCTCTGATGGCCATGCACACGAAGGCTGAACGTCGCAGTGCAGCTAAAAAAACCTATGGATATGAAATGATATGAATACTATGTTCTATGTGCCGTTCCCTGAATCCGAAATCCAAAATTGTTGGCCACATGGCCGGTGTAATGCCAAAAAAGTTTATTCAGTCGGTTTCCTTTCTCGAGCCTTCACACGATGATGTCAGAAGTAAAAGGGCGACAAGCCTAGCTCTAGGTTTGACGGACTCAGGACGGGCGTGTGCTTGCTTGCAACCGAATCTGTTCTTCACAGCTCTCTCATTCAGGTACTTCTGCAAGCCTTCTCTTGAAGATATGCCGCCAGGGCCGTGGTGAACTCGCCTCCGAAGCGATGAGAAGGCAATGTCACATCATGCTAGTGAAGTAGCTTCACAGAACACGTCCCTCCCGGCAGAGTTTGACCAAGGCGGAGGCCCAGCTCTCCGCCGGGTGTTGTCAGCGCTGGCTCGGAGACGCGGTCATCTAGGCACGCAAGCGTGGTCTCAGCCTCACATGGACCCATGGAAGATTCTGGAACCATCTGTTTGTCTGCAAATCCGAAAGGACCAGGGCCCGGGCTGCACGCAGCAGCGAGCCACGATGTCGTTGCTCCTCCCGGAAGGATTTTCGCAATGATGGGTGGTTCATGTGCAAATTCCAGGGGGGGCGAGTCTCGAGGTTTCTATGCCGGTGCAAAGCCTTCTCCCCCCCTCCTCAGCTAGTGCTACCTGAAATCTGGCTGCAAGGCAGTGGATCTCTGTACACTCACACGCATGTGCACAGGGGGCGGTGGCGATCCCTCGAACCCCAAGGCGTGCCTCGCTAAGCCTGGAACCGCCGAAGCGGGCGGCCACATCCTGCGCAGAGAGGCCGCCACCTGGGCTTGGCAGAACTTGCTGCCCAGCTCTGGCATCAAACAGCGGCACGAGCCTCCGAGCCCCCAACTTCCTTGCTGCTCTTGTCTGACGTCAAGTCTTGACCTAAGCACAAGCAGAAGGCGGAGGTGCCAGACATCTCTGCAGGGAAGCGGCTGGCAAACTGCCTATCCTGACCACGAACCCATGAAGGGCAGGGGCGCTTCGCCCAGCACGCTGCTCGCTTCAAGCCTCGGAAGCGAAGAAACGGACAAGGCCGACTCAAACCGGTGTCGATGCGGCAGACTGCTGACGCTGTGGTTCTACAGGCTGTACATAATGCGGATGCGAAGGTAGGTCTGTAGGGATCCAAACAGGGACTGCTGAGCCGCAGCTGCAGCCTGCACCAGGACTGTACTCTGATGTAGAACCCCAGCAGTCCGACGAAATGGCACAAGACACGTCAGACGCCCTGCCTGCGCGGGACATGGGCAGTCGTTACCTGTCGCCTCAGTGATTTGGCCCTGCATCCTCCCAATGCACATGACGAGAGACTGGACAGGTGAACCACAGATGGTCAGAGTTTTGCGCCTCTCTAGTAACGTTCCCGCCACGCGCCGGCAAAGACTTTTGCAGGATCCAATCTTCGGTGCAACGAATCGTCTGCGTAGGCAACTGGCGTCCGCGCTGAGGGCCACTGCAAGCACCTCAGAGAACTGGGGCGGATCGACTGGCGATTGCGACTTCAGAAGACCTGAGAGGCTTCGAAGCCAAGACCCTGGCAGAACCAATGCCTGGTCAGATAAGCTTGCGAAGCAACGTGCTGGAGCAACATGTGCACACTCAGACGAATGTGTGTGCACGCCTGCCTAAGTACATGCATGCATGGCCAAGCCTGCACATGTCTCCCTCCCCCCCTGCTCCCTACCTATATACATGCCTTATGATGTCAGCAGAAACCCAAACCACCTCGCTGAATCCGATAATCCGATACAACTCTACTTCATGCCTAAGGTAGCCTGTCCAGTATATTTCAACAGTACAAGTAGACTGTCAGGTACTTCTCGAAAGTTCATGAGGCTGTCAAGTACATATGAGTCAACGTGCAGGTCCCAAAAACAATCCTGAGTAAATGGACAAATCAAAAAAAAGAAGAGGTCCAGCGCATCTGCTTCTCGCCGTTGACCGTACTATCCCAACTAACAATTCAAAGTCTAAGCTGTTAGTAACTTGATTTGTTTATGTTGGTTGTGATGTCGTTTTCCCAATGTTGCCGTGGTGTTTTCAACAGAACAATACCCATCCTACATCCCAACCATTTAGTAACTTGAGTTTTTAATGAGAGCGTAATCCTCCATGAGGACTCCAAGTCGTTGATGTCCTGAGTCGAGTCGATAACAGGATTCTTTGTGCTTGTAGCTGTGTTTCACGAAGGGTCTCTGGGCTGACTCCAGCTGCCGATGTATAATTTGTGGTTCCCGAGCTCATTACCCGGAATCCTTCTTCAAACCGTAATGGCTGCATGGGCAAATTTTCAGAAGGAAGAAGGCTGATTTGACTCACGGACTACACCTGTCATTGCTACACATTCAGCAAGGCTGGACCAGCGCGTCAAATTTGAACTCAGAGCCCCCGGCCCGGTGTGTGCGGATTGGACCGTGACGAGAACAAGAACAAGAACAAGAACAACAACGAGAACAACAACAACAACGACAACGACAACGACAACGACAACAGCAGCAACAGCAGCGGCAGCAGCGGCAGCAGCGGCAGCAGCAGCAGCAACAACAACAACAACCACAAGCACCTCATGTGGCGTTTCCGGTTCAGCATAGATCTTCAACCTGCCCGTCATGTGGCCATCCCGGATCATCATCAACATGTTTGTATGTGTGTATATATATATGTGTGTGTGTGTATGATCATCTTAGACACCCCCCCCCCTCATTTGGCGATTTCGGCTCATCATGTATCTGAAACACACCCCTCATTTGGCGATTCCGGTTCTTCATATTCTTAAGCAGTCGCCTCTTTGGCGATTTCAGCTCATCATGCATCTTCGACACGCCCCTCATGTGGCGATTGCCATGGAATGTTACGAGCACTGCCCCCTGCCTCCAAGCAAGGAGGCCGTCCTCTTCCTTGGTCTGAGTCGACGAAAACCAAGGCAAACTTCGAAGAGGGCCCAGGACAATGTCTGCCCTGTAAGTAAAGGAGTGTAACGGTGTAACTCCGGATTCAACTGGGGTCAAACGATGCACCGCTCCCGCCAGCTGCAGCCACGCCACATTGACGCCGACCGTCGCCAGAGCGGCCGGAGGCTGCCGAGCCACAAAAATCACGGGTGAGCCCCAAACGGCCATCATCCTCGAGACATCCCGTGAACAAACTTTAAAAAGAAAACCCTCTCGCAACAACATCAGCGACCGGAGAAGTTCAGCCTTGATGCCACAAACAATTGGACGGCATCACCGCGCATCTTTTGCCGGCTAAAGTTGAACGGTCCACTTTGGAGCCAGATGCTGGAAACTGACTTCTGCACAAGCCGTACGAGTGTTGAAGGGGAAGCGAGTCTGTTTCCACCCAAAGGGACGCATAAGAGGTCACCTGATTTCCTATCCCTACCAAGGAGCTCTCCTTGGTGGGCCGCATATTTCTCAAAAGTTGAATGCATGCAGTGCTGGCTCGAAATGCCGACTATGCACCGAAGGCTGCGCAAGAAAAGTGACAGAAGCGCGCCATTGCGCCATTGCTCTTCTTAGACTTTTGAAGCCCTGGCGCTGTCTTCAGTGCAGCGGGTCTTGGCATTCTTTCTTGACGGAAGATCTTTCATGAGCAGACTGGCGCCTGCAGCTTCCAGTCCTGAGGAAGATATCTCGAAGATGCACTATGCAAGGACTGGGTACAAGCATTTACCACGAAGTGTCTTGCAACTTTCATGTTCACAAGCCCCACAGCTTTCATCACGGTGGCACGCTTTTCTGATGCTGTTGTTTAAGCTGGCTTTGCCAGCAGGTTCACAAGCAGCAAGGACGTGCGACACAGATCTGAAGGTCCTTGCTGGCAGCAAGCTCCTGCTGCTGCACCCTTTCTGGCCCTAGGTGGTAGCAACCGAAAACTATCATCTTCAGCGGAGGTTCCAGAAGCTACATGTAGGATAAGCCTCGGCCCAAGTGCAGCAGGCTGGTGGGAACTCGTGTCGCCACACACACGATCCTATCTGGCTGGAGGCATTGGCACGAAATAGTTCTGCGATGTCATAAAGAGCATCAGATACAAGCGTTCAGAAGTGGTTTCGTGCCATGAGTCTGCATCATGTTGAACTTTTTTGAACATTGTTGCCAGCACGCAACGAATCTCAGCACTCTGCTGGTCAAGAGAGGCTGTGTGCTCAGAGTTGCGAGGATGTAAAGATGTGATGACAGTTTCTGCAGCTCGTGCACACACAACCAGGTCTTGGTCTTGAAATGAATTGACTCTACGACCTCTGCTGGCACAAAGAGCCATGCAGTATGCTCACTTTACTCGAGAGAACAGCGCAGCATCGCAAGCTTGATGCTGCACACAAATTCGTCTGAAGCATGCACACCGGGTTGGGCAGCTATCGCGGCTCTGATCACTGTCCTAGTACAGGAAGCTTTTATGAGTCCTCCCACGTGAATGGCGCATGCTTGGTGTAGCAGTCCCTTGCACCGAACACGACACTGGCACAGCGCTTAACTCAGCGAACATCACTGCAAAAATCAGACGTACCATTCGGTTCACCTCGGCGAAAGCTTGCAGGAGTCATATTATGCAAGTGTGGGGGAACACACAGGCACGTCTCGTCAAATGAGCTGCATGCTCGTCGAAACTGAGGCCAGCACAAGCCGACTCAGGCCATCGTCAGCAGCGCGATGTCCCGCGAGTCCCTGAGCATAAAACTAGCTCCCTGCGAGTTGGAGTGATCGGATTCTGGCCGTCCTAATTCGCTTGAATTTGCAAGTCTGGGGAGCCGGAAACACGGCACTTCCTGAGGCAGTGGCGATCTGGGAGCCGTTCGGCGGCGAAGAGCGAAACCGACGAGGCCGTCTCAGCGCAGTTCGCTCATGAAAGGATGCGCAAAGGAGCGAAGGAGCTGACATACGATTGCTGCAAGTGTGCTGGGGTCCGGACAAAGCGCACCCACCACGCAAACACCGGCAAGGAGGAGCTCTCCCGAAACTGCCTCGTGGCTCATGAATGTTATAGCCACGGCACTTCTCTTCGCACGCTTCACTCAAGATGGACTTGCACTGCAAAAAGCTGAATCCGGAGCCTTCATCTTGGGCTCAAGGAGAGGAGTGGTCGGAGTGGACCTCTTGGAATCGAAGGTCTCTCACAAGTCTCTTACACCTGATTTGCATGTTTCTACCATGTCGCTGCATGGCCTCTGGACGAAGGACTCGGGAGTCGCCTGCAGAGGTAGCCACTTACCCAGAAGTGACGCCATCTTTCGAAACACACTTACCATGACGAGGCCCACTTGTTGCCTACGTTGCCTAGTCTATGCGTCTCCCATCATTCTTGAACCCTCATTCAAATTCTTTCGTGCTCCGACCCACATCAACTCAAGATATATCGGAACATACCGCTGAAGCTTGCCGCTGATTGCCTTCTCTTTCGCCTCCTCGGCTTTATCATCTGTCTGGGCGGGCGATGCCATGTCGGCAGCCTTCGTGAGCGATGAACAAGACGGCAGCGATCAAGCACAGCCACATGAACCATAATTACCGCTGCAATTCCTGCATCCATCAGTCCACAGCTTAGCATCGCTTGGAAGGGCGACCACGCCTGCGAAAGGATGCCCGTAAGCAGGGCGCGACGCTCTGCCGCGCGATGCATGGAGGCCTGTGACGCTGCATTTGAGGGGACAGGGCTGCTCGGTCCAAAAGCCGGCTTCCCGACTCGGATGAGGGATGCCCTATCCAAAGTTCACGGTGACACTTCAAACCTCCGCACCGGGCTTCTTGGGCTCAAGATCCATCCAAATGGATGGGAGTCATTACGAGAACTCCGGTCTATTGATTGGAATAGAAGATAGATAGTCATAGTGTCGCAGCTACATTCCGAGATCGGCCTCCGCCGTGCGCTGAGTCGCTTCGCTGAGAGCGGCAGTCAGCGACCTCGGACCCGAGCCCCGGAGCGCCGGAACACCGCTTTGCGGTTTGCATGGCTTTGAAGGCATCTTCTGGCACTTCTCTCAGAAAACTCTCTTACCGTCGCAGCCAAAGCTTAATTTGGAACCTTTGCCACTCCATCCCTGTTCACAAGTTGGCGGCAAGTATAGCTTGTTCGCAGCCATGCGGCTTTTTCAGCTGATCTCCTGCCTCTTTGGCTTGCTGCGCAAGCTGTGGGCTCTTTGCCTGCTGCAAACTGTGGGACTACTGTGGTGACGAACAACCCTGTGAGGCATTCGAAAGGAGACTGTGAAGCTTAGGCTTGTCGAAGTGGTCCAGGGGATCTTTGTCTCAGTTAACATAAACATGGCGATGGTACGACGATAGCGCCATGCAGATCGACTGCCGAATGCTGTAACAGTCTGCCGCGAACAAGTGCACCTCCAGGCACTGTCTCTGCAGCTTGCGCCTGGTGCTCGATGCCGTCCACCCAGCCCTTCGCACCCTGAGCCATTTGGAGAGACTCCAGGCATCTCCAGGCTCCCCATGCTCACCGCCCGAATGCTGGGACTTTCCTCGAGAAAAAGAAGCTGCCTCCAGGAGCTGACGCTTCGCCTCCGTCGCCCGCTGGCGCAAAGCCGCGGTCTCGGCCCCCTGGAGCCTCCAAGAGAAGACCGGACTCACTTCGTGTACACTCTTAGCTCTCGAGTGCTGATGCCACACACAGCAGATGTCAACATCATGCTACTGCTACATGCTTGCATGCTTTGCACTCACCTGGACGCACAGCCGCGCTCGATGATAGGAAGTTGCAGCCGATTCCGAGCTTCTTCTGATATAGTCCCGTCTCTGCGACCGCAAGACAACTTCGGCTTGCCACGATCAGGACCCCAAACAGTGAGTTGAACCAAAACCGACATTCATCCAAGCCCATAGCGCGGTCTAAAAATTGCGACTTCTGCGAACAGGGAGAGAGCGAGAGCGAGAGAGTGAGAGAGAAACAGAGAGCGAGCTGACGAGCTAGCGAGAGAGAGAGAGAGAGAGACAGAGAGAGAGAGAGAGAGAGAGAGAGAGCGCTAGCTAGCTACTGGTAGCAAGCGAGCGAACGAGGGAGGGAGCGAGGGAGGGAGGGAGGGAGGGAGGGAGGGGTGGGAGGGGAGGGAGAGGGGAGCGGGCGCAGACGAGACCCCAGTCCAGTAACATCGAGAGCTCGTTGCGCCTGCTTATGGCGTCTGAAGCACTGCGACCGGCATTCTCGAGCTCCTGGCACGTCTTGGAGGTGCAACGAGCAACCTATATAGTAACTATTGCTGCCTTGCACCTGCAGCCCTCCAACCCACCCGGAACCTTCACGTTCTGCTGCGTCAGCGGCTCTTGGGTGACCTGCCTGGCAGAGCGATGGGACATGGCTTGACACGAGCATGGTCCAAGTTTACCTAGCTTGGGTTCGACGACCATGATTCAAAGGATGGCATGATGCGATCGCCAAAAGTGCCAATCCTTCATCACCTGACCGAAAGCGACGCTGTCGCTGGGCCTGAGCCTCGCCATGGCATCCTGGAGCTCCTCGTGACGGGGCTTAGCGACTATGGTGGGGTAAAGGCAACCTAGGCAAGGCTCGCCTGTCCTGTGCACGGCGATTCGACTCCGCAGTGGCTGCAGAGCGCAGACCATGCCTTCGCAGTGTCCACTGGGCGTATGCACCATCCTGCGGAGCAGGGATTAGCCAAGGCTTCCGAGAGAATGTGCAGCCGACAAGTGCCAACCATACCGGACCAGAACCGGTCCTTTGCAGCTTGCTGCAACTGCTGGAGGGCAGCCGCTGCCCTCGCTGCCTCCTCTGCTGCCTGGACCTCCGCTCTCACAATGGCCGGGTCCTTTGCAGCAGAGCTTCTGAACCCGATGACTACACCTAGGCATTGTGGCATAGTCTTAACATGTCAGGTCTGCGGTCCTCCTGCAGAGCATGCACTTCGGGCTGCTCGGCGCTTGCCGGTAGCTGTGGTTGCATGGGCATGGACGGCTCAGAGAAGCTGTGCTCCTGCGAAGAACGTCTGCCCACTCGCGGATCTCTGCGGCTAGTGACAGTGCCTTTATGAGATGTTGATTCTACAGATGGCCGAAGGGTCGATTGTAGGACTGTCACAACCAGTATGCATTTCCTCGGAGTTCTCCGCCTCAGGCTGTGCCGACTCCCCTCCCACCTGAAGAGCACTGCCGAAACTGTGACTGAAATGGGATGGGGCTTCTGACTGGACAAGCTGCTTCAAGCCACTTCATAGCTGGCTCGCAGTTTGTGCATTCTGCAAGAGACGGCCATGAACTCAAGAAACAGCCATAGTCCGATAACTCTGAAACTCCCACCTCATTCTCTGGCATTGCAGCTAGTGAGACGGCCTTTCCAGGCTCCAAGGGAACCGGGCGTTGCTTCATTGCGGAAAAGCAGATGCTCCGTGAGGCCTTGGAGGACTTGTCGGACTTTCCGGACCTTGCCGGAAGCATGTGAAGCCAGTGCAAGCGCCTGCATGGGTTCCCTGTGCTTGGCTTGCTGCTCCACCTGCCCTTGGGAGCTCTCAGGGAGCCAATCGAGAGCCTCGGAGCTGGCGTCAGGACCGTCATGGCCGTTGTGCATTCAGGATTTGGAGCTTGCCGGACTGACTCCGGGCTCCATTAGTAAGTTCGGTTGGGTCGGTTAGGTCGGTTTTGTCGGCTGATCGCCACACTGCGTGAGCAAATACAGAAGCACTTGGCTCGGCTTCGGGCATAATCCCGCATGTACTCAGCAAAGTCGCCCACAGAGCCCATTTCCATGCCTGGCAGCTGCTGTATGCAAACGATGGCTACTTGTACCGTCCGCACACAAACCTGATGTGATACCAGCCTGATCATGGGTGATGGTCAGGGACGTTACTCTAAAAAGCTTCTGCAAACGGCCATAGGGGTAGGATGATGCCTACTGGAAGCAAGAAAAGGTCTGCCGATGGTTTCTGGCAACTGGGGGCACTGATCCAGCAATACCAAACACGACTCGATTCAGTGCATCGCAGGCCACGATAACCGACAGCATTAGGCAGCCCAGCGCAGCAGTTCTCAGGACAAGCACCGATGTGACTTCATTTCAACTGGATGCTCTAGATGGTCTCCAGCCTCCGCTGGCGAACTCTTTGCCTTCGTAGCTGAAGGCATTGTGCCTCCCACGAAACCGTCACAGCAAACTGTAAACTGTCCTCGCTGCCGCTGTCTGTCCCAACACCGAGATGAGAGCGCGACCCTCCTTCGTCCGTGGCATACTGGGACACCCAAGGCCTCATCTCCATAGCAAGTCAAGAGCAAAGCACCAAAAGCGACTCGGCAATGCTCGGCCCGTCCGCTGCATGGCGACATTGGTCCCGCACTGTGCAAAGGGCTCGTACCCCACTTGGCCACCGTGTTCGTAGAAATGGTCCTGCATGGTCAGTTCCCCGAACAGAGCCTTCTGAGATCTCTGAACTGGGCCCGCAAACACAGGAAACAGTCACATTCTGTCGCAATCCCATGGAGTCCTTCGGAGAACCGTGAATCGGCGTGGCGTGGCCCCACGGAAGCCCTGCATCGACACTGGAGTCTGGAGCAATACACGCAGTGCAAGCTTGGCCTCCTCCAGATCCGGACCCCTTCTCATGGCCTGCAGAAGGAAATCAGAGCACCATGAGAGAACCCTGCCGCCCTGCCCTGGAACCCAGAATCCGCCTCCTCCCGGAACCATGCTGCCACCACCGCCGGCACCACCGCCACCCTCTCCCATGGTGCCTGCGCGTCGCGTCCATACCGCCGCACCGAGACCGCGCCGAAGCTCGCGCTGCTAAGACTCCGTCTGCCTGCCTTGGCCGACGCTGTTCCCTCCGCTCTCGGCCCGCTCCTCGCGAGCATCAGCGCAGCCTATACGCAGCTCCGCCTTTCCCTTCCGTGTGTCCTCTGTGGCTTGCTCCGCAAAGTTTTCGTACGGGCCAGGGATGTAGGTGTTGTAGGTTTGCATCATGGACCTCAGCGCGACAGAGCCCACGAAGCCGTAGCTACTACTGCAACAACATGGCTCAGTTTCTGGTCGCTCCTTGGAATCGAGCTTGTTCCAAGCGCTCAGTTGGCTCTGCCTCAGCAACGAAGCTGCAGGTCACATCCCTGTGGCACATCGCTGCGTGGCTCGCAGCTCTATGAAGGGAAAGCATGCTTGACGCGGCGCTCTGGTTTTGCTGAACCAACACGACTCTGTACAGCAGCCCCTGCTGCACAGCTCATGTAGCTGCCTGTACAACGGAGCAGCACGGCAACAGCAGGAGCATTGGGATGTTGACAACCGGGGATCCGCACCCCCATTGTCCACCGACATTCCTTTGTTTTTGTTCATCTCTTCAAGTGGCTGAGGTCGTAGCAGCAGTTTTGCTTTTTTAAAAAGCTGATGACAGGCCGCAGGGAGCTCTCATTGTCTTTTGGACAGGCAAGGAGCTGCAGCACGCGGATGCTCTTGGCGAATCCCGATGGGCTTGCCGTAAGGAACGTGCAAGCCTCAATGATTAAGCTATTGTTGCCGTCGTCAGATCTACCTCCTTTGACAGCAGCCATGCACCCTGTTGGCATCGAGGCGCCGCCATGCCGGCCATCATCATCCCGACGAGCTGGCTGCCCCGGCGTCCAAAGGCGTTGGTGTTTGCGGTGGCAAGTCCGTCACGGTCCAGCCTCCTCTTCTGTGCCGTCCTGGCAAGATGATTCAGCTAGTATTCTACACCATTGTACACCCTGGTACACCAATTTACATGCATAGATCAGTTTCTCAATCTAGATGCCGGGAAAGGTCCACCCGCCTCCCAATGCATGCCACATGTCTATAACTTCAGAGGCCCCTCGTGTGAAAGGTGGAGGATGTCTGTGATGGTCTTTGGCCCACAAAGAATCGCTGCACCGTCCTGCATCGGGCGTCAGCAGCGCCGCCTTCTCAGGGCTTCAACTCACAGCTTGGAGCGTCTCGAGTCCTCGACTCCAGGCTCCTGCCTTGGCAAAGCTAAATGTGAACTTTTCAGTCACGGTCTCGTCCNNCCGGGAGCTCGTCGTCTTCATTGTAGCACCTGACTCTGCCAGTCTCACCCCGCAGCTGCACACGGGTCCAGGGTGCAGGGCCGTGGGGTGTAGGGTCGGGGTTCAGCGACCACTGGTAGCCAACAGTAGAAATAGCACTCGTGGTAATTATATTCATAAGGTTAACAGTGGTGGTGGTAGTAGTGGCAGTAG